GGCCGTTACCGAATTCCGCGTTAACCTCGATTGATTGCAGCAATCGGGTAATCAGTCGGGAAACACTCTCAGATATATTACGCTTACGAGGCACTTACAATATCACGGGCTGTGCCCGATCCGCTAATCACGGCTAGCGTCATTACTCCAATAAAAATTGAACCGAAAACAATTAAATCAAGTATACGCCGCGTTCGACGACGGAGTTGTTTGTAGAGCGATTGGCGGACACAGAATAAAAGCGCGAATCTGGCCAGACGTTCAATTTAAAACAAAAGTTAGCAGTCGGCAGTGGAGTGAGCCTCTATCTCGATCCCAAAGCTCTCGGAACTGGCTCGAGTACCGCATAAGCCCCACGATCTCCCCGTGAAACATTCGCACTTGGCAATGGCACTGGTTAAGCATGAGCATTAACATTGAGACAGATATTCGCCTGGCCCCGGGGTGAATCGGGGTTCACGGGTTGGTGGGTTGGTGGGTGTAGTACCCAGTGTTTAGACTCTTTTTTTTGCCATTCCACAGTCGCGGCCCAGACAGCAGAACGTGAGAAATAACTCAAAACCGGAGACAGACGACATTTGTCGGCCGATAAAGATGTCAGCGATCTTGTAGGCCAGTGCACGCAGTACTTAGAGCGCTTATCGCCAAGATAAACCCAACATAATAAGGAGTTCTCTTTCGGTTTCACTTACGCTTTTAGCTGAGATTAAAAAAAATAATGAAAGCCAACTTTAGCAGTCCGAAGTCTATATACCCTTGGCGGTACAACCAATATATAGTATTATATAAAACGGCTATCTTATGTGTATACATTTAAAAACAGGGAAGATATTTCGATTTCTTACTACAATTTTGGAATTCCTATAGCAGCTTTATGATAAGTTGTTCGATTTTTTCCTTTTCATTTTTGGATTTTTCTATAATAGCTACAACTTGTTAATATAATATATGATCTAGTAATTTCGTTCTTTTGGAGTAAATGAGTCTTTGTTCAAAAACGACTTAATTATAATGTTTTACAATAAATATTGTGGTTGTTTGTATGCTTTAAAAAGCTTCTATATTAAATTATTATCCCTCTTTAGGGGTATAAAAGCTTAGTTTTAATTTTAACCCTATAGTGATTCCTTTTAAATAATCTAACTTTCTTACAAAATAATTGAATTTTAGACTGTCATTAAAGGACTAAAATGGTTTTTCCATTTTATGCTAAATAACAACAGAGCCTTAAATAGTAAAAGTTGTGTGTTATGTTTAAATAAATCTGAGATTGAATTATTGTAAGCATAACATTAATAGTTTTACATTTAAGACATTTTTCCACGCCAAAGTAAGAAAAGAAAAACCAAATGGTTTGGGGTGTGTAAAAAATCCTCAAGCACATGGCTTTCTATTTATTTAATTTTTTAAAGGAACAAAATAAGGTTGTAAGGACGTAATCAAATGTCGTGGAGAAGCAAAAATATTATTTTTTTTAAATTAAATAAATATTATTAACCTTTTTTAGGGCAGTATGAGACATTTAAAGGCCTAAAGCTATGTGGATCTTATAGCCACTTACGTTCTCTGGCGTCGACATGGCTGAAACCGAGAAGTCGAGGAGAACCACAGGCCTTGCAGCACGAACCTTTCACCCTGACCAAGCCGGGACCAACTGAACCGATCGGATCCACGGGTTAACCGGTGGTAAGCTCTTTTCATGCAGCACTGAAAACTGAGAACTGAAAACTGGAAACTGTGTCACCCTCAATTCGAACTTCCTTCGGCGAGGCAAACGAGCCGAGCCAACCCCAATATAATAATAATAAATCAGATCTCATCAGCGGCGCAGAGGTGTCCCAAATGGGATTCGCTCTTTGGTGCGCAATTCCTCGTGATTAAACCAACGCATAGTGCCTAAAACTGTTTAGAGGCTCAAATTGAGAATAACAAAGCAATTTTTCAATTGAGCTGCCACAAATTTACACGCTGCCATGATATATGGGTGGGCAGAACCAGCTCCACAAGTGTATGCCGTATTTCAATCTGAAAGTAAAAGTCGGGGAAATTGGCGAGGCCAAAGGGCAGTCGACCACCTGACCCATCCGAGGGTGACATCGGATCAACTGGGAAATGGAATTGCGACTGCGAATGCGAGTGATATGATGGGAGAAGAGATCTGTGGACCAGCGGCACGTGTTCTTTGTTGGGCGACACCAAACAGGGCAGCACAAGTTCAGGGCGAAACCAATTTTCCCTTGCCCGTATTATTATTATGTGATTGCTCGTTCGGCTGTTAACGTTTTGCGATACACTGGGAAAAATATTGTACAAGAGTTTGAAAGTAATTTAAGCTAAAAAAGTTTTTTTTTCTAAATTTATATTTTATTTATTAAGCTAATATGTACCAAATATGAAAACCAATAAAGAAAAATAAGCAAGCAATATATTTTGGGAACTTTTTTACCTTTTCTTCCCAATTCAATATTACACAGATTGTCATTTAAACTTTTTCAAATATTGAATTTTATTTAAAATCGAAGAATTTATTTTTAAAAATGAAATTATTATTTTTTAAAAATTGTTAAAAAATAAAAATACAATTTAAATTAATCAATGAAAATAAACGATATAATTGAAATTATTACATTTATTATTTATTTAATTCTCTTGTAAATTAATTATAAAGTTTTTGCTAACATTTATGACCTTAACCTATTTTTTGTAAGAAAAATTAAATTTTTACAAACTTTTTACCAAAAACTTATACAACAAAAAATAAGTACAAATAAAGTATTGATTAAATAAAAATTGTTTTACAAATGCTTAGACAGAGTGTGTTCATATTTTTGTGCCTAACTGTAAGCGTCAATACACAAATTAAAAATACAATTTAAGCCAAACAGAGTGCTTTTGTTTTTTTACACCTAATCAGATGAATTTGCATGCAATTATCACACGGCAATCTCTATATTTAACCACAAATGCGTTTGCCTTGTCTGATCAGATTGGAAATGTGTCATTGTTATAATGATATCTAAATACAAATGCCAAAAGCTGAAAGGCTTTTTTTTTGGCACTCAATAAAATTATTGTTTTCACTTCGCACCCATTCAAATTATAAGTTTTCCCTTCATCTACTGATTAATTTAATCATAATGCTAATATGTATTATATGGTTATATAGAAGAATTAACACTGTGGTCTTAATTGTCGCTATACATTCATTGAAGTCACTTAATCAATGAGCTGTTAACCCGTTAAAGTGGATTCTGCAAATGCCAAATGCGCAAATAAATTTGGCAAATTTGGAACCAGATTATCTACGGCTTACATAGCGTCATTAGACAAAGTCAAGAGTGGCGAGAAGGAAAACTACGTCAGAGCTTGGCAACTGGTTTTATTGATACCCAATAAATCGGGTAATCGGTCTCTGCTCCACCGAGGAATAACTGGGAACATGCGGCGTATGCGCAATGCAGGCGAACTAATAAAACGCAGGAAGGCACGCGGCCACCGAACGAAATTTCATTTGGCCAAGTAAACAGCCTGTCGCAGAACGTGCCCCTCTCCCCTTTGCGTATCCCCTACCAAAATCTGGAAACCAGTTAACTGGCGCTGAGAAAGTGCATTAAGCCATCGATTCGAGCAACAGAAAAAAAAAACATGTTAATTGCCAGTCGATCGAAGTGTCTTGCACTGCCTGCAATGGACACAGTAGTTGTTACTGGTTACTGGTTCTTTTGCCGTCTTGCCGTCTTGCCATAAGCCAGACAATGCCCCGGCCAAATATTTGGCAACGTCTCTGTGCCAAGACAGAAAAAGTGGCCCACCGATCATGGAGTTGGGCGGAGTCGGGAGAAGTCGGGCGGCAGGAGCAGAAGCGCAGGCCTTGATGATGGTTACATGAAAACATGAAAACACGTTGAGTGACAGTCATAAAACGATCGCTTACGGTTAATCGATGTTAATGTTTGGGAAACAGGGAAAGCTGGTTAAGGAACAGATCCAAATTCCCATTCAAGGAATCTGGTTTACTTTAAGGGCCTGTCATTAAAGATATTGAACTTGATAAACAGGTAGAAAGAAAGACAAATTGTATTAATGCGAAATGGGATAATGTTATATAAAAACTATTATTTTAAATGGCAAGTTCTAGAACAGAAAAAATGAAATAGATTTAGTTTCTAGATCCTAGAAACAGCATCACAGGAAATAAACAAGGCAGTTCGCTCTGAGTCAAATTGTTAACACAAATATTATTGGACCATGTTGGCCTAGTAATTAGTGGGGACTTTGCTGAAAGACAAACAGTCTAGAGTTCTGGGAAAAGTAACTATAGAATATTTATTAGATATACATAAATATATATATTAATGATTTTACGAACTAGCAATGTCACTATAGAAAATAAAAAGCATTCCGGTGTTGAAAAAACTTCTTCTTGTTTTCTGTTTTTATTTTAATGATATTATAAATGGAAAGTTTGCTATAAAAATTGTGAGATAGACAATAACATAATGAAGGATAAATAAAAAAGTTTTGGAAATACTCAGCTTAAGATAAAAGAAATGTTTAAAATAAGCAGGCTTTAGTTAAAAAAAAATTAGAAATGACAAAGATGTTTAAGAAAGGATCTGAAGTTGACTCATAGTAAACGTTATAAAATGTTTAAAAAAAAGTTCAAAATTGAATGAAGTCAGCTAAGCCCAAAGTTATTTAAGATAAGGAGGTCTAAGGATCGTTTACGATGAGTCAAGGGACCCCAGTGAGTTATGTAATCTGTCCCAAGCGATGAGATTGGCATACAAAAGGTGGTTCCGCCGCCCCTCAACCAATTCAAGCCCCTCTTTCCACCGATCTCAGTGGGATTCTGCGACACTCGGCAAATGTGCGAGATGTTTCCCTGTGTGCCGGGAGTGTCTGTGTGAAATCCGCTGTATGTGGGTATCGCACACCGATTCGCGCGATGCTTAAAACTGGTGACCCACGGTGGGTCTGATTTAGTCGTTAACGCGCGGCCAACACGATCACATCGCAGATCCGACCAACTATACATCATCGCATAGTATCGTACAGTATAGCATAGTATAGTATAGTACGGTTTAACAAGTGCTCGGCGGTACGAGTTCTGTTTAGCGTTGATCCGCGTTGATTTAGATTTATGTTTTGATTTTTCGTCGTTTCTGTAAACGAGTGTTTCGGTTAATTGCCAGTTGTTCAAAGGCTTTTTTGCACCAGCTATTTTCGATTATACTGGTTATTTGGATATTGCACGAATAGAAGTGCATTCATTCCTGTTAAAAAGAAGGGTTTCATAAACCTAAAACGGTAAGTGAACAACCCATATTTTTGTTTTGTGTTTTTATTTTTTTTTTTGGGCTAATTAGCCAGCGGAAGTCGCGACGCTCAACTTTGGCAAATTAGTAAGTCGGGCATGAGTGCACAGATCGTTGAGTTCAGTTTAGCTAAGTTAAGTGGACTAACCCCCAATTAATTGCAGTTAAATTTAGCCAGCGACGCGCATCAAACGTCTGACGCAAATAATCGATCGGAAGACCAAAAATAGATCAGGAATAGTTCAAAGAGCACTGTTCTTCACTAGATATGAACCTCAGATAAACACAAGTATTTTTAAAGGAGTTAAATACATTTATTAACAAACATAACTTATATTTATATCTACAGATAAGATCCAAAGTATCTTTAGATATGAACTTATTTTTAAGAATTTTAAGACTTTGTACAATATTTACTTATCAGTGGACACATGGAACATTTCCAGTAGATATAACAATTTTATATCTGAAGATATAATCCTCATTGCCCACAACCATTTATATCATGGAAATATCTTAAGTCTTTGTACAATATTTACAATGCAGTGCTATAAATCCATTGAATATTATTTGTTTTGCAAGTGTCTTTAATGATAAGCAGCATAGAATGTGATAAAGAACATGGCTTTCAACCCACATCACTCATACGTCAAGTTGGTCAAGCTGATGTGTTGCCAAACAAAGATCAGTGACTTTTCTGACATTTGCACACCCCTGAGTAATTTTGAAAAATAAAGGTTATGCAGCAAAGTATTCTTAAAGATGATTACAAACATGAGATAAACAATTTTATAGCATTAAAGTTGTGATTAGCAGACGTATTAAAGTTTAAAAATAATTTAATAGCTAGTGCAAAACTGAGGAAAAATAAGGTTGGCAAGATTGACTGATATTGGTTACATATTTAGAGTTAAGATAGATGAACCGACATATTTATATACATATAATCAGTAAATTTGAATCAATATCAACTAAAATATTTGAAAACAAATATGGTTTTTGCTATTTAACTACTTTAGAAACCTTTAACTCTCTTTCTGTTTTTCCCTTAAAAAATCACGTTAAATTTTCTCTGTAAAAATCAAATTATTTCAACCTCTCTTGTTTTCTTTAGTCCAATACGTATATTTAATTATCACTTCGCGTGGAAAATTGCATTAAAAATTGCCAGTTGCAGTTGCACTAACACATTGTGAGTCTGAAAACAGTTGGACAATATAAATTTTCCTCCAGCTCGGAATGTCGCGAGTGCCAAGAACTTTTCCACTCCAAAATTCACTGCCAGAGGGGCTAAGCCAGACAGTCGAAAACTCCAGTTTCGAAAACGAAATGATTAAGCGGAGCAAGGCCATCGGCTTTTATAAGCAAGCCAGTTAGAAGTCGTTTGGGCCAGGCCAAGATTCCACTGCCAACCAGAAAGCCACCGCTGCTGACAATTGAAATTTGTATTCCACGGCGGCGAGTCTCAAGTGCTGCAAAACAGCTAAGGCCAAGCGGTTTGGCCTGGCTCATTGAACTTGGCTAACTCTCGAGAGTCTAGACGGCTAAAAGCCACAGTGAGTGAGACACCAGTGAGTAAATAGTAACACAATCACAAGCGAAGAAACCAAAACAAAAAGCCGGGAGAGTCGCGTGCTGCTTTCAATTCATATTCCGCTGGCGTTCACGTGAACAAAATTCAAGCGATTCATGGGGAATTCTTGGCTCAACAAAATTTTCAAAAATTATTTATAGACAGCTGCATGTGAAACCAAAAAAAAATGAAGGCAAATAGAAAGGAAAAGGCCCTGTAAATCATCTGCAGCCGAGTCAAAACAAATTGGCAAATTGCAAATTGTCAAATAAAATTAATTTATTAGTGTGATGCGAATGGGGTATGCCAATCCAGTTAAAACCGCCTGCACTTCATTATTAAAACAAACTAAAGAGGTTTGTTTTGTTTGAGCTTGGTTGAAATAAATTATGGAAATTATTTCTGCGAATTCGGTTTTGCGTGAATTTTGGCCTTTGTCTATTTTTGGTGATGATCCGATGAGTAAGCCGGAATTAGACTATTAGAAAGTTATATATGTGGTAGCTTTATTGTTAAAGAATTTCCCATAAAAAATGTTAATAGCAAATGTTTGAATTGTTTTGTCCATTAAAACTCAGTCATAACTAATGAAACAGGATTTAGTCATTTTTAAATTAAAGCTTTTACCATTTGAATAAATAAATACAAATGTTTTACTGCTATACCCCTATTAATATATTACTCATACGCCCAGTTAAATTAGTTTAATAATAGCTATACAATTTTTTTTTAACCCATAGCTTTTGAAAACTTAGAATTTCCCATAAAATCATTATATATGCAAGGGAACAATTATCCCACTCATAAATAAATTGCACTGCATAGTTTTCCCATGTGAAGATATTACTCATGCGTTCCCAAAACTCAATTTAGTATAATCACTGTCAAGAGCTCCCCGGAGATCGGTTAATGACTTCCGCATTTCTCAGTCTTTGTAAGTGGTACATGAAAAGCCGCCGTTCTTGAGATTATGCAGAGAGTCATTCAGGTTATAGATCTAGTCTGGGAGGCTTATGAGGAAGGAGAACCGAAGACCGACTTGCATATCATATCGTTATATATCTGATCTGCAGATATCACGATATCACGACGATAATTGCTAAAAGGCACGATCATAACACGAAAACAGAGAACAAGACAAGATTGGGGGAATTTGCCAAAATGTCCATATCTCTCGGGTAGATGAGATTATCTTAACTGGAAGCTGTAAAGTCTCAAATTGCCCATTGTCACAGAGATACATATTTTCTAATTAAGCATCATGGGCTGAGATATGGCGACATTAAGGGGCGGAACGATTAGGGCGGATAACAAAGTCCGATTCTACAGACAAGTGACACTAAAATTGGCCTTTGTTATTCGATTCGTTCTATTTTAGCACGTCTCAGAACGAATTGCACGAATTGTCAGGTACTACTCGTAATACCCTTAAATTCGGAGGGGAATGGACGACGGGCCAATGCTTCGCTAGCACTGAACTTGACATTGCCGAGGTCTGCATTCAATTTAGAAATATGTCAGCGGCACTGACTATTTTCAGAGCACCGTGCACATCACGCACTTGTTGCGCCACTGATGCGGATGCAGATGTAGATAAAACTGTGGCATACGGGGATCATCTGATAGAGATAATTGTTCAAAGGAGTGACATTAAACTAAGTAACTTAATAGCTACTTTAAGTTGGTTAAAAGGAGTTGTTTTGAGAGGCTGTAGCACATAAGAAATAGGTGATTTTCTTCAATCAATTATCACAAAAAAGTTTGTTGTTACTACATTTTAGCAGCTATTCAACACATATATTAAATGAGTTTCCCGTCTGAGTTTAGTCGTGTTTTTCTCCGAAATAATTTTATTTTACTTAAAATAGCTCTAATATGAAAAAAAAAACAGTTTTTTTTAAAGAATTTATATTTTTTATTTTAACATATGATAAATTGTTTAAACAAGAAATAATGTTATTGCATATTTTCGACCCGTGAAATTCCTGTAACCATGTAAAAATATAACATTTGTTTTTAAATAGCTTTTAATAGTTTAAGGTGATTTAAAATATACGTTATTAGTATTAGTTTTTAATACATTCAAATTGTAATCACCTAAAACATCAGAGCAAACGCTCTATAAAACTAAGTTTTGCCACTTGGGATAAAGACAAACATAAATTTCTATATTTATACGCCTTCTTTAAATTAAACACCACCTCAGGAGGGAAAAGGTTAGAATTGTTAACCGTTTATTTTATTTTATTTTGAACGTCTGCCTAATACATATGCTGACATGTTATTTAAAATACCTTACTATGCGCTAATTAAAAAGAAAATTATCTATTAAATAGTTTTGTTTTAGAAATGCAAATAATTCGATTTTGTTGTTTTGCTAGAGATAATATATTTATACTGCAATTCTTTTAGCACATCAATTTAATTCGTATTTATATGTTCTCTTATAGTCATGACTAAGAATGGCCTCAGCAATGCGGCTTATGTCAGCGATCATGCAGACAAATTGGAGCTGGCCGAGAAGGGTCAGAAGAACAAGGCCATAGTGGCCAAGGATCCCGACTACAATCCCTACCACCATCGGGATGTGGAGCATCCCACCACGTAAGTATAGCTATAATAGCCCTATAAAATATTATATATATTAATTAAAAACTTTTTACTTTTAGAAATTCTGAGACCCTGTTCCATTTGTTGAAGGGTTCTCTGGGAACTGGCATTCTGGCCATGCCGAATGCTTTTCGTAACTCCGGCTATATTACAGGGGCCATTGGCACCATCGTCATTGGCTTCATTTGCACTTTCTGCATCCATCAGTTGATCAAGGCGCAGTATGAACTATGCCGTAGGAAAAAGGTTAGTTAGGAGTATACCCCAGATTTATGTATTCCAGATTAATAGAGTTTTTTTTGATCAGATGCCCAGCATGAACTATCCAATGGTGGCGGAGACAGCCATGGGAGAAGGTCCAAAATTCTTCCGTTTCTTCGCTCCATATATTGGCACTGTGGTGAATACTTTCCTGCTGATCTACCAACTGGGCACATGCTGCGTATACGTGGTTTTTGTGGCCTCCAACATCAAGGCCATTGTGGATGCAGTGGCTGACACCAATATCGATGTGCGACTCTGCATGATCATCATATTGCTGCCTCTAATCCTGATCAACTGGGTCCGCAATCTGAAGTATCTGGCTCCTTTCTCTACATTGGCTAATGCCATCACCATGGTCTCCTTTGGCATTATCTGCTACTATATCTTCCGGGAACCGGTCACCACAGAGGGCAAGGATGCCTTTGGAAAACCCTCCAATTTCCCGCTTTTCTTCGGCACAGTTTTGTTTGCTCTTGAGGCTATTGGCGTGATCCTGCCATTGGAGAATGAGATGAAAACCCCGCAGAAATTCGGTGGCAGTTGTGGAGTCCTCAACGTATCCATGGTGCTCATTGTGTTCCTCTACGTGGGCATGGGTCTGTTTGGTTATCTTAACTATGGATCCGCGGTTTTGGGTTCCATTACTCTTAATATGCCAGAGCATGAAGTGTAAGTTTACCTTAAAGTAGTCTTCCTAGTATTCTTTAATTAAAAGACTCCTCTTTCAGACTTTCCATGTGCGTCAAGGGAATGCTGGCCTTTGCCATCTATATAACCCATGGATTGGCTTGCTATGTGGCCATAGATATTACCTGGAACGATTATGTGGCCAAGCGTTTGGGAGCCCAACGTAATGCCCTGTTTTGGGAGTACGCCGTGCGGACAATCCTTGTCCTGATGACCTGTAAGTTTCCGCTCTTTGGTTTTAGACAAATATTATATCTTAAGATCTTAAAGATTACAGCTTTCACTTTTTTAGCTTATCCTTAAGATCCAAGACTTACAAAAACATTTTAGAATGTTTAGGTTTCTATAAAAAATATTACATTTTACTGTTTAAAATTGGTCAAAATATAATACTTTATTGTGCAGGATATATAATATCAAATATCTGTCTTTCAAACAATTTATTCGTGACCGTTTTTTACATCATGATTTTTTTGCGAAAATTGACCAAAATAAGTTTTGAATGCTAATAGATTTCAAATAAAATAATGCTATTTTTGTGAAAGATTCAAGACGCGATCTACTTTTGATCTCAAAACTGAAAAAAACTTAGAAGATATAAGCCTTTAAATAGTTACCCATCATGAATTATAAACCGGTATTTTATTATTTGTATTCACAGTCCTTCTGGCCGTGGCCATTCCCAACCTGGAGCTGTTCATCTCCCTGTTTGGAGCTCTGTGCCTTTCTGCCTTGGGTCTAGCTTTCCCGGCCCTCATCCAGATCTGCACGCATTGGTACACGACAAAGGGAATCGGAAAGGTGTGGCTAGTGTTGAGTGAGTAATCCTACAAAGTACTTAACAAAATCCATAATCTAAACGGCAATCCTTACAGGCAACTTTGTGCTCATCATTGTGGGCATCCTGGGCCTGGTAATCGGCACGTACACCTCGCTCAAAGAGATCGTGCTGACCTTCTCCGAGTAGTCAACATATTCATGAACCCAAATCCGCCAGCGGGCATTCCAATTCAAGCGAAAGTATTATGAGCAATCGAAAGATATTGAAATCTGTAGACATTCGCAGCGCAGCACAAATGACAAGATACAGATACAACTAAAGTTAGAGATACAGTTTACATGTGTAAACTTCTTACTCAGAACTATTTGTTGTGTATTTGTATAGAATTTATCAGATTTGTGATATTTTTAAGCATCGTGCCCAAGAATCTGTACAACAAGTGTGTGTATATCATAATATCTCTTTATATAGTAGATAACGTCTTGATAAGTAGTTTAGTGCCAAGTCACATCTTTATAAGTCATATTTAAAGAACGATAGCAAGCATATTAATAAAAATATATTGCCATATTAAGATACGCCCTGGGGGATCTTTTGGGTGACTATGTAATCCTTTAGAGTCTGGCAGAGTCTCCTGGCTCCGTCCACCAGTTTTTCCTTCGGATAGAACGCGATGGACAATCGGAAGAACTGCTTACCAGATTGTCCATCCACAGAAAAACGTGGTCCTGCTATAAAGTAAATCTTCTGATGCTCCAGGCAGTACTTGAGAAACTCTCGGGAATCCAGGCAATCGGGGATTCGCACCCAAATGAAGTATCCTCCAGTGGGACTTACTAACTTGCAACATTGGGGCAGCTCATCGCGCAGAACCTGCGTGGTGGCCAGCATTCGCTCCTTGTAGGCCTCATAAAATACAGCTATCTGCTTTTGGGCCAACTTCAGCTCGAAGAGACTCTCGACAATTCCGGATGTATAGTTGTTGAAACATCCCCCACTGTTTGCAAATCCACATCCATCCAGGATCGGTTTTAGACGCGCAGGAACTTCCAACCAACCCAGGCGAACGCCAGGACCCAGAATCTTAGAGAAACTGCCATTGGAAATGACATGGCCTGCGAAGTCGGCATCCTTTCTATCATCGTAGGACATCAGGCGGGAGTGGGTCGGTTTTTCACCATAGTGCAGAATGTTATAGACATCATCGCAGACCACCAGGAAGTCGAACTTGCGAGCCAGTTGCACAATTCCACGACAAACCTCTGAAAAATATAAATATAAATGTAAATAGAAGAGTTTTAAATATTTTATAATAGGATTCCGAGAACTAAACTCACCTGGCGAGAATAAAATCCCCGTTGGGTTATGATAGGTAGGAATCGTGTAGTACATTCCCCAGAACTCTTTCTTTTCCGAACTGAAACGCCTTTTAGAAACCTGCTCCTCAAGATCATTAAGATCCACCCCATCATCGTTTAGTTTTACAGGAACTATGGTTAAACTATTAAAGTGCTTTATACTATCCAAAGCAATCATATATGAGTACTCATCCACGAATACAAATCCCTGTAAGTCTATCATCGTGGAGAGAAGTAGGTGAAGGCCCTGAGTAGCTCCTGTGGTAATCATTAGATCCTCACTAAAACCAAAACCACAAAGTTAGATAGTTAAATGTTAAAGCCACAAGAGCCGCATAAGATTACCAGTTGACGGGGCTTTCAAACATTTCTGTGAAATAGGTGGATATCTCACGGCGCACCTCAAACGTACCACTCGTGGGTCCATATTGAAAAATCAGCGACTGATTGTCCCGCTTTTCGCGTTCCTAAAAGAAGATTGCCCAGAAGGTCATTGATAAAGAGAGCGGGTTGCGTAAGAGATTTACTAACCAGACAATGATCCGTGGCCTTCCTGAAGCTGTCGCAGTTGGAGCTCAGGAGATCAGTTCCCGGAGCACCCACGCCGAGATTGAGGATGTTGGGTTGGTAAACATTCCAGTCGCCTCCATCGAAGAGGTGCTTTAGTTTTCGATCTTGATTGCTCTTCGCCATGTTTAGCGTGTAGTTCCAGGCATACTAATGTCTTATCTGTGCGCTGGGTACTCGCATTTATTAAAAACAATGGGAAAACTTTTAACATTTTCGTGTTATACCTATTACTTGTAAAAGCTAGGGGTATAAGCTTTTATAGACAAAAGAAATGCTTTAAATTCTTATTAGTATTCAGACTAGAAACGAAAGCTAATTTAGTTTAACTTAACGTTATAATATGTCCTTTTTAAAATACTATATTATTATATATGACGTGGAAAATTAAAATGATTTTGAATTACTTTATTAATTAATTTTTTTATTAGTATTACCATTAAAAACTTGTGTCTCATATTAATAAGTCCTACAAACAGCTTATCTTACACACATTTAAAACAAAAGTTTGAGAAACCTTTTTTAAACTAAGATACAGCTTTATATTTTATTAAAAAATAACTAAATTATATTAACCAAAAGAAAACCTAAAACTTTTCTATCAAAATTTATTTCGAAAATTTGAGTTCCCATATTAATTTAACTAAACTTAAAGCCATTGGAAAAATAATAAAAACAAAGTTGGAAAAAGGCAGATTTTAGCTAAATAGAGGATATGTAACGGTCGAGTATCGCATTTACTTTATTTAAACGCGTTTCGTTGCGAATTCCACAAGGTCCAATTGGAATTGCCATTCCCAGGGCAACGCCAACAACAGCTGATTACAGCAATTACTTTGTTTTTGGAAAACTCGGAAAATCACAACTCCCTTCAAGTAAACATGGAACAACCAACAACCAGCGCTGCTGCTGCGGCACAGGACCCCAATCTTTTCCTGGACTCCCCACAACACGGACCAACTTTATCCAGCGCCTCCAGTTTCGAGGCTCTGACGCGTCACGACCCGAACCTCAGTCGCCTTGCCACGAAAATGTTCAACAAAACGGAGGAGTACATCACCCACGAACTGAACGCTCCTCTAGAGGATTATAAGCTACTGGAGGAGATGAACAAGGCCACAATTGCCAAGTACAAGGATATGCGGCAGATTGCTGAGAATCTTAACACATCAACTAGTGAATTGAGCCTTAAGTTCCAGCAATTGGCTCCAATGATGCAGCAAATCGACGAAATCTCCGATACGGTGGACAAACTGGAGGCGGCGGCCTATAAACTAGATGCCTATAGCATAGCCCTGGAAAACCGGGTCAAGGTCGTGCTCCAAAGGAAATCTGGTGGCAGCCAAGTGGCACAGTAAGACTACTCATTTACAAAGGCTTTATGGTACATTTATTACAGTAATTTTATGTCAACCAAGTAATAGTTTAAATATAATCGCAATTATGTTAAGGAATATCAAAGGAACTGAAAATGGGAAGAGGGTAAAGATGTAGAAAGTTTTCAGGGATTACAATATATAATACTTACTTTTTGCCACTGTGCGAATAGAACGGATGAGATTCAGCACCTGATCCTTGGCAGTGGGTGCTCCAAAATCCTGCTGACCCGCCTGTCGTCCCCAGCCAACTAAAAAATGTGCCAAATTTGTAACATCGTGGCAAAGGGAGCCAAAAATTAAAGTGGAAACTCACACTTGGCCAGGAAACGCTCCTCGTGCAGAATGCACACTGCATTCAGGCAGAGGAGTGTGGATTCGATCAGCGTCCAAAGAGTAAACATTTTTGTGCCAAATTACGCTTACTTACATCAAAATAAACCAAAATCGGCGAATAATTGTTGACGTCAGTGATGCCGACTTGCCATTCTCTGCAAGCGCGGAAACAGCTGATTGGATGTGCTTATTGTGAATGGTTAAATATCAAAAAGAATTGCGCGCCAATTGGAAATTTGATTTTGTGTTTGTACTGTCCTTTATTAACTAAAAAAATAATTAAACATGAATGGTATATTTATTGAGCCCAAGGTAATACACCCAATGCACATTTAGACCAATCGTTATCTGTAAAGAATGAGAAAAAATAAATTATTAAAAATAACTTAAAAATTTTTTAAAACTTTAAAATTGTGGACTGAATAAAAATACAATTTTGAGTAATTCCACAAGGATTGTTTCAAATGTTTCCAAATATAAACCAAATAAAACCCACCGTTCTCCATTTTCCAAATGCCCAAATCTGAGGATTCTAGATTGCTGAAGTTATTGCTTTTACTTTGAGCTGCTTTGGCAACAAGCTTTTCCAGGAATTCCAGGTTATAACTCTCCACCGGGGTACTCCTATCCTCCACTTTATACTCCGTTTTGTACCCCATTAATCTAATGTCACAGAGTTCGGTCAAATCCGTTATTTGCGACTTGCTATAAGGAGGATCCGCAAGGGGTAATAACCTAAGGAAACTCCGTAAATATTATTACAACATTCATGTTAAGAACAATCGAAGCTTACCCTTTAAGTATTGGCCCTGAGTATTTATTGAAAGGACCAACACGCTGCAAAATAAACTCCCGCTCAAAGACCAACGTTCTTGACTTCTTTGGATTATCTCCAAAAATAAGGGTAAGGGAGGGATCTACATTTGAATGTACTAAAAGACTGCGCATGGTTTTCGATATCTTATCCGTGTTAAGAGATGAAAAATCCGCTGGTTTTAATTTATCGTTCTAGAAAAGAAGTGGAACAATTAGCATATATATTTTATGAATCTCCTACTTATACAAACCAAATCTAGTTCCCCTTTGTACATCCGTTTCATCCGGAACAGCATTGCAAATGTTTCAATCATCTTGGTGGCCCAATAGCTGGCTCCCAGTCGTCTATTTTCTGTCTCGTTTGTGTTTTCAGTTAACTGCACTAGAGCCGCAAATAAGTTTTCGATATATCCTTGCATGGCTAGAAGTCTGAAAAGTCCTTGCGTGGCTGAAATGAGAGCATCCTCGTTGTCATCAATTTGCAAGCCAGCTCCAAGGAAGTATTCCATTTTAAGCAGGCAGCGAGTGTAAATGTCCGTCAACGCTTTCATAGAAGTGGACTCCTTTTTAACCAGCGCACTCAGATCATTTACTACCGCATCGAGTATTTCCTTCGATGTCTTTGCCTTCTTGCTAGAGGAGAAAACCCGAATCTTGTTAAATTCTGCGCTGGATTTAAGTTTGCTGATGGCCTTAAGTTTCTCCGCACCCTTGAGATGGCACTCCAGGGTCAGATCGTAGATCTCTAAAAGACTGTTCACAGCATTTTCAAACTTAATCTTGTCCTTGCGCTGCAGCTTGCCGGCATCTAAATTTGACATTGTCTCCTTGTGTGGCAGCCAGTAGTAGGTGCGCAGCCACTCCAGGCAATGTTCTGAGGTGTTCCTTAGGACTTCCACTGGCGGCAGCTCCTGTCCGTGGGCGCACAAGTGCCGCAGATCCACGATAAACGACTGGAGTCCCAGTTCCTTGGCCGTTTCGTACATGCTGCTCATATTGTGACCCTGGATGATAGATGACATGAAGTTGTAAAATCGATTGAAGGCACTGGCATAGGTGCTCTGTATCTTTGAGTTTTCCTCCTGATCGTCCAGTTGAGCCTGGACGAGCACCGAAGTGGCCAAAACAGCCGCCGGGCAGAGGTTTCCTCTTCGCAGATTCCAAATGCGAATTTTACTGAGTGCCAGGCGCCGGTTGGCGGGTGTAGATGTTTTGCCAAATAACCAGTCATAAGTAGTTTTGAATTCTAGTCTACAAATTGTATAGTTTAATTAATAACTTAAAGTTTTTTTTTTAGTTTTATTTACGCACGTGTCTCGCCAAGGGGTGACCACAGTTCGTTGTTTTACTGTTGCAGGCGGTGTGGCTGGGGCAGCTTTAGCTTTCTGCACTTTTCCCTTTTCTGGACTTTTCTTTTTAACTGCTGGCTTTCCCTTTTTTGCAACAGCCATGATAGTTTTTTTTAAAGAAAAACTCAAAGCAAAACAAACCGCTTATAAAAACGCAACAATTGTGATGGTGTTGTAAAGCGACAACAACTAGTTGCTCCTAGTGCTGCTGGTTAAGAATATCTTTTTTTAAATTAAACAGAGAACTTTTTAAAACAACAATTAACATAAATTAAACACAGAGCATCATGCTTTATTCGAAAACATGTTTATGTTTAATTTACAATAGGTTTAATAAGTTTTTCGTTTTTCTTAAAATCTAGCTATATATTGTATGATTTTTGTGATTTGGCTACTTTAAGCTTTCCTTCGTTTGCCAACACTGCCGACGTCCAACAGCTGATCGCGCCAACAAGACGCAGCCGGATCTGTGTGAATGGTAAAATAAAAATTGGAGCCAAAAATAATAATTTCTTCTTGCTCAATTGTTGAGCCAATTCCCGCACCCCGTCAAGAGAATAATTTCCTGGGAAAACCTATATCTTTTCCCAAAATAATCAAGGCAACAACACATGCATTTCGTCCAACATCCTGTCATCATCAACAACAACAACGTGGTGGACATACTGCATCCGGAAAATATCGAATTCGATGGGCCACCAGTGGCGCGGAAAATGATAATTGGGTCGTTTTCGATGTTTGTGATCTTCTCGTACCTGCAGATGCTCTACATCCTGGTGGCCATCTACCTGGCGTTGCATCACGCCCACCATTAGGTTGATATCTATAAATGTATCACTTTGTTTCCGAGCAGACTCCGGAGCTCAGGCTCTCGGCGGATGCACTGGTCACTAGCCACGTAACGCAGTACCTCAAGAGCTTCCAGCTGGAGGCAGTGCGCTTCCTTTACGATCGTCTGGCCAAGCGGGAGTTCTGCATTCTAAACGATGAAAGTGGTCTTGGAAAATCGGCCACGGTGGCGGCACTTCTTAGTGCCATTGATCCCGCCAAGAAAACACTTATAGCGCTTCAGAATGATGAGCAACTGCTCGCCGGATGGCGGTTTCATCTGGACACACTGACCGACCTGCAGGTGTGCACTATTCAAGGAGTGCAAGGTATGATTTTTTATTTTCAAACCTTGATAAAAGTTTTATACTATATTTTTTAATACATTTCTCTAGGGAAAAGGGATAGCACATTACATTTTGCTTCATTTATAAGAATGAATTTTAAAAGAAAGTTAAGCTTGGCATAACTTTTAAATGAATCACAAAAACATGATTAATAGTTTTGTTTTAGTCTTGACAGTTTTTCATTATATTTCGCAATAAAACGAAACACGCAAAATATTTAACTTAAATCTAAGATGATGTGTTTTTTATGTTAACACATGTTAATTATTTTAAGGTAATTTTCACTAAATATAGTTTATTATTTTATAGACACCACAGACTCCCCACACAATGTTTACCTGGCGAAATGGAGCCAGTTGCGTAGCATAGGAGATCTTAGCCGCCTCAAGTTCGACTACGTTATGGTGGACAATCGCGGGCACTCGCTGAACAACAGCTTCTGCACCTCCATGCTGCTCAAGCATTTCGAGGGACGGGTAAACGTTGTTATCTCCAGTGTTGACATTACGGTGAGGCAATGCAATCATAATTGGCTCACATGGAGCTTTAATTCTTTTGGTTTTTCTTTCTGCAGTCCGATGTGAAGTTGCTATACAATGTACTGCGGTTGGGTGGTCGTCTGGAGCATCAGTACAGAAGCTTCCAGAGCTTCGATCGCAGGTTCCACATACCAGATCCCAAGGAGGTGTTTAGCAAGCGCATAGATCTCGAAGAGTACTACAAGCAGCGAGGATTCCTCAGCGAGTATATTAAGTAGGTGACCCCGTAAACGTCTTTAATCTTATCTCTAGATAATTCTGATCGAGTCGTTCGAGTTCTTCATTGGAATTATCAAAAGAATTATTTTTATGTTATTTAATTTATATAATATATTTTAGGGACTTCCGTTTGCGACGTTTCCGTCATCAGTTCGACAAAAGCTTGCCGCTCGTAGCACCTGAGCAATACAGGCACAATCTGAACCTGTGGTTGGCTTCAAAAAATAGTCAGAGCACGCTAAGTGGCTCCTCGGAAGTCTGCTCAACAATCGCCTCCATAGATAATAATCCGGCTCTGCAAAACGAAACAGTGCAGTCTGAAGACACGGATAAGTTATCCGAGCACAGCGTGGATGAAGTGGTGGCCATGTCGCCGCTGGTCTTTGAATCCTCTGACTCTGACGTTGAACCCATAACAGTGGAACCTGCTGCTGATCAAAATCAAATCCTGATAGTTTCTAGCGATGATTGCGAGATTGTGACGCCTCCAAACACACCGCCAAATCGAACGCCCACCTCAAACGAATCACCAAGAATGAAATCTAAGAAGAAATTTAGTAAGCGGAAGTCAGGACAGAAAAAAGCCGATCTCACCGATTCGGAGGAAGAGGATGCAGTTGTGGAAGTGGCACCCAAAAAGATAACTCGCGCGGCAACAGCTACCTTTACTCCCAAGACAAGGAAGCTCAATGTGCGTGTGCTAAGGGTTTCCATGGATACCTTAAGCACACCTCTGGCAGAAACTGCTCCTGCGTTTGTCACGCCCAAAACAGAGCCCTCGGTTAGTAGGAAAAAAAAGAAACTGCAACCTGCCAGTCCAATAGATATCGGTCGTCCGGCCACTCGAGGTATGCAGCGCTTAACACGATCCGCTGAGTCTAAAATTAACAGCAAGTACTTGAAACACCGCACACTGGATGATGTCAAGCGGAGTACCCCAAAAAGAATCAAGGCTGAGGGAAATCAAACGCCCAAGACAAGCAAACCCAGGGTGAAGCAGGAAGCCAAGGAAAAGCTTGTTGCCAAGCAAGGAAAAGTGCAGAAAACCCCGGTAAAGCCTACGCAGGAAACTCCCAAAAGAAAGGTAGGACGTCCGAGGAAAAGCCCGTCGGAACCGGAAGATGCAAAGAAAACGAAGCCTAAGCCAAGCCTTAAACCTTTGCCTCCCACTCCACAAGTCCTTAGCGGTAGTTCCCTGTCCTCGGAGTACATGCAATGTGCTCAGCGAATCCCCGACAACTTAGATGCCATTGTGTCTCCTGCTTTTCGGGTGCCCTTCACCCCTCAGCAAACACCTTTGCTGCTAACTTTGCCGTCTGCTTTTAATTTGCTCAACGACTCGGAGATGGTGGCCATTCCGCTGTCGAAAGAACAAGCGGAAACTGTGGTGATCAACAGTTCCCACGATGAAAGTTCTCCGCAGGATCCACCACAAAGTCGACGTACTAAGGCTTTGAAAAGGAAGCGCAAACCAGAGACGCCTGTAAGTTCAAGTTTTGGCGGAGGCTTGGGTCTGCCACCGCTCAAGAGAAGTGCCAACAAATCACCGGATCTGTTCAGCATCTCCTCGGAACCTTCGCAGATTCCTTTGGCACAGCCGCGACCCTCCTCTCCCTTTGAGGGTTTTAAAATATTTGGCTCAGAAGTGAAGCAATTCCAGCAGCAGCATGCCAAAACAAATGTTTCAGCACCGAAAAAAAAACGTGATCGTTCTTGTTTGGATATTTTAGAGCAAATGTTTGAGCCACGACAGCAGCACCAGGAGAAAACTAGTCCCAAAGTCTTGCCCACCTTGCCGCTAACTCAGAAAGATGATGTGGCACAACCCCTTACCCAGAGGAGGAGAACCCTGTTGGAAGATGACTTCTTTGAGATCACCAACAATGGCCAATTTGGCAGTCGAATGAGGTTAAATTCCTCTGGAGATGTATCACCCGTGCAACAAGATCAACAGTCCGCCAGGCCGACGCAGGCCAATAAAATCACCAATTACTTGATAGGTTCTGGAATCACCCAGGAAAAGACGCAGCCTAATAGTGGAAATCGCAACTCCATCGTTGCATCGCTGCGGAAGTCCCCCAAGTCACCAAAACAGCAAGGGAAATCCACGCAGGCCACCAAGCTTACTCGGTGGTTTGGCGCCGTTTTCGGAGGAGGAACTTCACAGACCAGCTCTGTGGAATCGGTTAGTGCACCAAGCACACCAGTGACTCCCTCAACGAGTGCAGCGGCATGTCAAACGCGATCAGCGAGGAGTGGTGGAGCTGCAGGGCCCACAAAAAGAAAGCGATTGGAACTGTTCAAATAAAGAGCAGGATAAATATAGCTTACTAAGGAAAACGTTAAGTTAACAAAATTCAATTAAGCTAGGTAAAGTCCTGCTTCCTGGATAAAAGCCATATTTTCACGAAAAGATTTCTAAAATAAGTTTTAAATGTTCACTTAGGTACTGTTATACCTTATTATCATATACGAAATTAAATTAAGAAGAAAGATCAGAAATCTTATCGTGAAAATGTAGCTTACATTTTTTAATCAAAAGAGACAGTTAACAGCATCCAAACTTCGACAAAAGACTTTTTTGTAGGTTGTAATATCAATGTGTGTACAATGTTAGCCGTAGAACATTACGAGCATCTGAGCAATTAACTAGCCAATTTAGTTAAATTTCTATTTTATGTGCACATTTCGAAGATCACTTTACCATACAATTAAAAAGACACTGAACATTATTTGCTATTATTTTTTGGAAACATAGACAGTCCCGTTTTATTGCCTAAAAGTAGGATTTAACATGAGAAAACTTATCTAATTTTCAAAACTTTTAGCTTATCATGAAGACAAAAAACGCGGCCTCAGTAATTTAAAACATTTTTATTATGTTGTACCTCATTCATTATTGTTTTAGTGTGTGCTCGCCATGATATACATATGCCAGTAATTAGGCGAGTTTTTTAGTTAAATTATTTTTTTTGAAGATAAATAGAATATTATTATTTTATTACCTTCAATACGTTTTTAATAAAAAATAAACTATTGTATATTTGAGGGTTTAATTTCAATAAAATATTTGTGTGTTTCATTGAAAAGACAGGATAATCTTGATATTTTTTTATAACTAACGTTTAGAAAAGTTTTAAATTAATTGGTCAAAATTTCATACTCGTTGCTTGCCAAATATGATGGTTAAGTTATGCATGACAGCTTGTCGCTGGAATTCTATTTCACGTCGGCACATGCTGCCCAAAAGAGGTGGACACTGGTACTGAATGTTTTCCAAGGCGAAGGTATCACCATTTGAGCTCCTGAAAATGAACTCGCTAAGGGATTGTACTGCAAGGAAGGATGAGATATAAGATAAGAGATTTAGTAATATATATTCCCCAACTTACAGCAGTATAATCCCTTGAAGAAGCAGGTCTCATGGGTGGACCTTATAGCATAGACCACCGGGGACACTCCGGGCATTGTCTTGGTGACCACGTATTTGGCTGTGGCTGTATTTATCCAATAGGGCCAGTGGGATAGTTTTTCTGTGTACTCCACCGTATAGCGCCAGTCATGGGCGTGTCCGTGATCAGCTAAGATCTTGAAATTCATGCTATGAATGGGTAAAAATAAATAGTATTAATGTAAGTACTTTCCTTACTGTGCTATAAAATAGAATATCCAACAAAAACTCTTTAAAAACCATTCAATTTTTGAAAACGTTCAATATATAAAGCAGCAAGAAATGTCATTACTGTGTATTGTTGGGATCTATATTAATATGGTTCTATAAACATTTAGGCCTCCATGTGTTTAGAAATTGTTCAAAATATATAGAGACTAAACAGTCTCAGTTCAAAAAATTATTTTTTATTTTCAGCACTAACATTATTTTAAATTTAATTAAATTATATTAACAATGTCAAAAACATTTTGCATTAAGAGAGTTTTTACAATTTAGATTTCTACTCACATCGTGGGGTTTAGCATACGCATCTTGTTAAAGTCCGCCACATATTCCCAAACCTTTTCCGGTTGGCTCCGTTTGATAATGCCCTCGATCTGGTATTTCTGATAGCCACTGGAGAAAACAAAAACATAGAGCAGCAGGGCGACGCTGAAGAGGACGGAAGCCCGCTTTAAATTCCACAAGCGCGGACTATGCATTCTGTGTTCTGTTCTGGATGGATTTCCGACTTCGACTGACGATTGTGTGTATATGCCAGTTTATTTGAATTTCAAATAAACATGTGCCGGAGAATTCACCACAAAGATTCGGGAAACAGCATCAAAGGAAAAAGAGCGGGAGCTCCATCGCAAAAAGAGAAAGATAAACAAAAGGGATCTTTCAGAAACGTACGCGTCCGGAAAGCAATAGTTGGTTATGACTCTTTTTTAAAAAGAGAGCTGGCTTTTGGATGGATTATAGGTCTCTGATGCATTTACTTTGTGATATATAAGGTTTCTCTGACCGAATTAGCATTCCTCTTTATACCCAAGGACCGACTGAATTTATTTCACATGTAATGACTAGGCTTATCGTTAAGTTTTACGGTAGTCAGATAAGGATATTAATCCATTGGCAAAATGAATAAATAAATTTACTTTAGAAGTAATGATTAAGTTTAGCGTTAAGTTTTTAAATAATCAGAAAGAATATTAATCCATTAGCAAAATGAATAAACCAATACACACAAATTATTGAGACTTTGATTTAAAAAATATTGCTCTCATCTTAAGTAGGATTAAAGGAGTTTTTTAAATACTTTCGTAACAAAGAAGGACCGATCTTTATAAAGAGTAAAAACAAATTAATCAACTTTTTAAAAAACTGATATTTTACTAACTCAGAACAAAATCTTAAAGGTGCTTTAAAAATAAAATAATAGCCAGCTGTTACCAAAATACATATAAATAACATAACTGATACCCAACCCTTACATAAAATACAATTTAAATGACAATATATTAAAAGGGGTATCATTAAGGAATGAAATAAAGTGCTGTTTTAGCACTGCCTCATTTTTGCCAATTCAAGCAGTTTGAAAAGTTTCTGGGGGTCAAAGCTCTGGAGCGCCAGCCCCTTTGCCCCATTATCTCCCCATTCAACCCCAAAAATTAATATTAATGCTGCCTAACACTGGCATTAGAAAGCTTTGGCGAATGGCGAAAGCTGCATTAGTAACTTATTCCATATGATCGCCACTTAGTTTATAAACAACGATTGCCGGGTGCAGTCGGAAACCTCGGATTCGGCGACATACACAGCACCAAGAACCCGAAGCAGCGTGCTCGTAAAAGCATATGTAATTGCTTATCACACCGGACTGTCCGAAATCGGTATATTCCATCGCTCCAGCGACAACAGATCCCTTACCATCTCGTACCCCCCGCGAATTGCCGGTTTACGTAAACGCCAATTCAATTGTGTTCATTTTAAAAACGTTTTAGCAGAGAGCAGCACAGCGCATTAATCAAAATAAAAAATGCGGCTACTGGTCAGACACGCGATTCGATTGTTGGGTCAGGAGAATCGAGGAGGAGGTGGTGGTGAGGTGGCCTTATTTTGGAAAGGAGGAATCCGGCTGAAGGCCACAACCGGTTACCTAAAGCTGGCCACAGCAAGTGCTCAGCCATTGGAGTCGGAGAAACAGGTGCTGAGAAACGTAAGTACTACGTTAATACTCCAAACGTCTCTATTTCGCTAATCTAATTTTCCCCAGAATTCTCCACTGACGGATTCATTTGGCCGACACCACACCTATTTGAGGATTTCTCTAACCGAACGCTGCAACCTGCGATGTAAGTTTCACGCCCAAAACAGCTATGCTTTCATTCTTATCAGTTGTTGTTCTACCCTTTTGATAATACTCGTTATGAAGTGGATCCCAACCCTGATTGAATAATGTGGCGAAATTCGTGTTTTACACTTGCCCAACTGCTCTCAACATGGTAGTTATAAAGCCCCATATTTGACCTTTGTGTTACCAAATTAGTAACGATGTTCTAATTTGATTTTTGGGTTCTATTGTACTCAGCTTTCACAGCATTTTCGGTTCCAATTACTGGTGGCAAACAACACTTGATATCTTAATGATCATCAATTGATTTCCAGAAAGTTCCATTCTGTTATTTATTGCAAGCATTTAAAATAGTTATGTGACTATATTATATATCCATATAGACCAATGTATTTTTTAAAGGGTCAGAAATTAATCGTTTAGTAGATAATAATTAAAAACCACAATTAATTACAGGCGTAATTAATTAAAACTATATATGTAAGACAAACAAGTTTCATAAGAAATTCAAAATAAGTTATTTACTATACAAGAATTGAATTGTATTTTCTTTTTACCTCTCTTTGTTTCTCTTACTTTAACACCCGCAATTGTTCCTATTTTAACTTAGATTTAAAATAGCGATAACATATATTATGATGTTGATCTTAACTAAACAAATCCATCTTTTAGGTGACTACTGCATGCCCGCTGAGGGAGTTCCCTTGCAACCCAAGTCGAATCTGCTGACCACCGAGGAAATCCTTCGCCTAGCGCGCATTTTCGTGGAGCAGGGAGTGCGAAAGATCCGGTTAACAGGAGGAGAACCCACTGTCAGGAGGGATATAGTAGAGATAGTGGCACAAATGAAGGCTCTACCGGAACTGGAGCAAGTTGGCATAACAACCAATGGTCTGGTGCTCACCCGTCTGCTTCTGCCGCTCCAGAGAGCAGGATTAGATTCCCTAAACATCAGCTTAGATACACTGAAGAGAGATCGCTTTGAGAAAATAACCCGGCGAAAAGGTTGGGAGCGGGTGATAGCTGGCATCGATCTAGCCGTTCAATTAGGCTATCGTCCCAAGGTTAACTGTGTCCTTATGCGCGATTTCAACGAAGACGAGATCTGCGACTTTGTAGACTTCACCAGGGATCGTCCAGTGGATGTGCGCTTTATAGAGTATATGCCATTTTCAGGTAACAAGTGGCATACAGAAAGGCTTATTTCCTACAAAGATACCCTGCAAGCTATCCGTCAAAGGTGGCCGGATTTCGAGGCCCTTCCCAATGGACCCAATGACACATCCAAAGCTTATGCTGTGCCTGGTTTCAAGGGCCAGGTGGGTTTCATCACCTCGATGACGGAACACTTTTGTGGAACCTGCAACAGATTGCGACTTACTGCGGATGGTAACATCAAGGTGTGTTTGTTTGGCAATAAGGAGTTCTCCTTGAGAGATGCCATGCGAAATGAGGGTATATCGGAGGAGCAGCTGGTGGATCTGATTGGAGCGGCGGTGCAGCGCAAGAAGAAACAGCATGCAGGTGAGTTACGATCCCAAATCAAACGTAGAAAGTCTTCAGAACTTGGTCCTCCTTCGCAGGCATGCTCAACCTGTCGCAGATGGAGAACCGGCCCATGATACTCATTGGCGGCTAGTAGACACACCACACTCTCCCCTCTCTCCCGTTGCAGATGCTGCGCCACGGCTCCATCATCAATACCATTTTCTGTATCACCCAGCACATCATTCTTCAAAGTTGCAGCTCCAGGTCCGAAATTGCAGCCAGCTCACCCATGTCAATGCCCAGGGCAAGGCCCAAATGGTGGATGTGGGCGCCAAGCCTTCGACCACAAGAATAGCTCGTGCAGAGGCCACTGTCCTGGTGGGCAAGCATCTCACCCAACTTATAGCAGCCAATGAGCTGGCCAAAGGAGATGTCTTAACGGTGGCCCAACTGGCTGGCATCATGGGAGCCAAACGCACATCCGAACTGATACCCCTGTGTCACAATATCAGCTTGTCCTCCGTGAAAGTGCAGGCCACTCTTCTCAGGAATGAGCACTCAGTCCGGCTGGAGGCATCGGTTCGCTGCTCCGGCCAAACTGGAGTCGAAATGGAAGCCCTAACCGCTGTTTCCGTGGCCGCCTTAACTGTCTACGATATGTGCAAGGCCGTTTCCCACGACATCTGCATCACCAACGTCCGCCTGTTGAGCAAATCCGGCGGAAAAAGGGACTTCCAGCGGGAGGAGTCGAAAGAAGGAGCAGTACAAGAGGTCGAGTGAGGAGTTGCGCTGACTGACTGGATTAGTTTTAATGTTATGGTTAAACCATATATAGGGGAATAGAAAATCTTATACTGCTTATTATTCACCTAACCATTTTTAATTAGGAAGAGTTATATGAAAATCAAAATAACTAACTATCGTTTTATACATTTGTTAACATGGATTTTTTCCTTCCTAAATTGTGCTTCTTTAAATCTATTATACTTTTTATGAAAAATGTAATTTGTATCAACATACAAAGAATGTAATTTTTAGTGCTTTTATAAATATGAATAGACCCGAAAAATGAATTGACTAATGTAAAAATAATAACAAAGACATGAAATAAATTTTTTTAATTAGCTGTAATACTACTACTTTACGATTAATATTGTTTTTTTCCTCTGTAGAAATTTTATGTTTTACAAATCGGACGACTGATTTAGCTCATATAGCTTCCATAGGAACAATCGAAAAATGTATCACCAAAAAAAATTTCCAGTCAGAAAGTTTAACCTCCTCTCCAATGAATCACAAGTAGCATGATTAATTTCGTACAGAAGTTTAAGGTTGCGGTTCTTTTTAATTCGTGGCCAGAGTGGGTTAAGTTTAAATGAGAGAATTAATGGATAGAGTTGGTGTGAAGGTGCGATTTGAGGCGTGTCGCGAACTGCGCCTTACAGCTAAAAGTACATACAACATTAGAACTGTTCAGTAAACGCGGATTATTGCTCGCAAATCCTGGCAGAGTTCCCTCTCAACATAGACACAATAAATACGGTGTGGTGAGGTAATCAATCGGTCCTAATTGGACACCAGGACATTGCGGTTCTCCGCCTTGTTCTCCGCATCCTTGGCTCCATCGGCGCCCAGGTGTTCGCCCCGGATCTTGATGTTGTGTTCCTCCTTGAACTTGTTCAGCTCGCTGCCCTTTTTGCTCAGGTCGTCGGTGACCATGATGATGGTCTTGGCGATGAAGTCCTTGTTCTCCACCAATTGCGGCAGCACCTCCTTCACGGTTCGTTCGCACAGAACACCGCCAATCTGGCGGAAGCACTTGCGCTCCGGATCTGCCGCCTGCAGAGTTTCTATCACAGTTCTGTGGGAAGGGGTGTTATGGGATTATAATTGGTTGTCTACGGATGTTATCCCATATCTCCAAGGTCCCACCAAATGTTGAACCATCTTTGGGCCCCGGTGACTCACTTGTGTTCCCTCAAATCCATCTCTAAAGTATTTAGACTGTTCGCCAAGTTGCGCTGATCATTGCGCAGCTGTTGGAACTGGGCCACAATGGCCTCCTGGCTGGGCGCCGCCTTCGCCGATTCCGTACTCATAGCAATGCTCGCTCCCCAAAAGGACCCCTTCGAAAGCTAGATATGAATACTCGCTCCAAAATTGCGAAAATCTGCGATTTTCTTTCAAAATAAGTCGGCGAACACGAGGGCTTTGCGATAGAGCTGACACCAAAACCAATGTTTATTCGATACAATCGATTGCCCTGAAACCATTGCTGCTGACGTTTCATGGTAAATGGCCAATTTTAATCGATAGCCGATAGGCGCCCATCTGTTGGTGACGTTTCAGTGTGATTGTCAAATTTGAATACACGTGCAGTTGTTTCCAACCGAGTTTACTTTATTTAATGCTTTTAATTTAATAAATTGATAAATAAAACCATGCCGGCAGCAGTGGCCAAAGGTGTGCAATTCGGAGGACCCTCCAAGAACAAGAAAATTGTGTTCGATGATTCTGGCGAGGCTGTAGTTAAACAAAACAAAAAGGAGCACCCACAGAAGACAAAAAATCAAGGCAGGGATCAAGTGAAAAAGCCACAGAAAAGGTTTGCCCAGGATGGACAATCGCAGGGTGGTAAATCCTTTAATAAAAATCATCAAAAACATAATGGTCATAAGCCAGATCATACCAATAAACCTCAAAAAATAAAGTTCGGTGAAGAAGGAGAACCAGTAGCTCCCAAATCCTTCAACAAGCAGAATCAAAACGGTCAAAAACCACAAAAAATCAAGTTTGGCGAAAATGGAGAAGCTTTATCCCAAAAACCATTCAACAAAAATCACCAGAAACATAATGGTCAAAAGCGTGATTTTGGCAAAAAGGCTGAGTTTGTTGATGTCGAAGAAGAAGTATCTAACAAAAAACCCGATGAAGTAAAGAAATCCCAGAAAATTAAGTTTGGAGATGATGAAAAGTTCACGGAAAACTCTAAAAAACCCCAACGTATCAAGTTCGACGAGGATGGTGCTGAAAAAAATGTCTCTGATACCGATGGAGATAGTGATGAGGAACTGGGACAAACTTTTTCCAAAAAGCACAACAAATATCAGTCAAAAGTTGATGAAGATGAGGAGTCCCAAAAGAAATGGTATCATGTGGTATGTTTCTACTTAAAAACTTAAAAGAACGCTCGCTCTATTATCTACCCTTTTCATTGAAGCATCCCGATTACCCCTCTACCGATGAGGTGTTGGATATGAAGGAAAACGATCAACTGGAGCTCTATAATCTCTGCCAGAATTCCTTCGAAGCTGAGAAGACAACATTCAATAAACGTAGGTTATGCTAGTTTCAGGGATATCCGTATACTTGTAATAGACAAACACAATGCTTTGAATTCCTATTAACGCCTTAATCTGATTGTTAGGTAATCCTACGGATGCCCGCTGGTTGCAAACCGCTCTGCACAAGGGTACGGCCAAGGATCGTGCCAATGCCGGAGCCCTGCTAGTGACCAGTAATCCCCTGGGCAACCTGGAAGCCCTGACCACACTGATTGGATTCTGCAAGATTTCTAACAAGGCCAGTAATGATGTGATTGCTGTGCTTACGGATCTGTGGCAGGAGGTGCTCCTGCCTCCAAACAGAAAACTCCTAGCAGTTCACACCCGTGGAGCCGATTGGAAGAAGCTGAAGAAGGATGAGAAACTGCGCAACGAGCAAAAGCGACGCATCTACGCGTACTGGCATTTTGAGAGCGAACTTAAGGACCAGTATCACGAGTTCCTCAAGAATGTCATGCAGGGCTTGCAGACAGGACAGGAGCACAACAAGAACTCCTCGATTGTGGCCGCTTCCAGGCTGTTAGCCTACGCTCCCGAAAAGGAGCAGCTACTGCTGACTATGTTAGTAAACAAGCTGGGCGACCCCATTGCCAAGATTGCCTCCAAGGCGCTGCATCACCTCAGTGAGGTGGCCCAACGGCATCCCAATATGTGCGGCGTGATCGTTTCAGAGACGGAGAAGCTGCTTTTCCGTAACAACATTTCCGACCGAGCGCAGCACTTTGCCCTGTGTTTCCTCTCCAGCATCGCACCCTCCGGCCGGCCCGAAGTCTGCACCAAGCTGGTCAACATCTGCTTTGCCCTCTTCAAGGTTCTTGTTCAAAAGGGAGCCGTAAACAACAGGACTATGCAGGCAATCCTTCGGTGTCTGCAAAAGGCCATCGTGGAGGCTCAACCGGCCAAGGATAGCAACGGGGAGCTGCTCACCAAGGAAATGCAAGATACCATTTACCGGTTGGTCCATTTGGCCGATATTCGGGTTGCTGTTCAAACTCTGGGATTGCTGCTCCAACTTGTTACTGTTAAAACTGAGAAATCAGATCGGTTTTACAATGCTCTGTATGTGAAACTGCTGGATTTAAACCTCATCAACCTGGGCAGTAAAACGGCGGCTCATCTGCTGCATATAGTCCATCGTGCCATCCACATCGACAACCATGTGGCTAGGGCTCAGGCATTCGTCAAACGCCTCCTGCAGCTCACACTCTACGCTCCTCCCCACATTGCAGCTGGTTGTTTGATTGTTATTCACAAGTTGCTGCGCATGCGACGTGAGCTCATCGGTGGCACTGGAGCATCGGAGGAAGTGAATGCCAGTTCAAAAGCAATAATACCAGTGGACACAGATCTTGATAAGTTTGGAAGCGATGAGGAGGAGACTTACGAAGATGTCAAGGAGGAAACGGCTAATGTGAAAGAGTCAAATCCAGCGGAGGTAAAAGCGGAAGAAGGTGCCAAGTCGATTACCTCTTCCTGGCACCATGCCAGTGTGACTGCTACTGAGTCCAAGGTGCGGGAGATTGATTCCTGTAAGTACGATCCATACCATCGCGTGCCAGCTTTTGCAGGAGCAGGCTATGCGCTGCGAAATGAATTGCTGCTGCTGCGCCAGCATTACCATCCCACTGTCCAGGTTTTTGCCGAACAGATCCTACAGCGTGAGTACATCCAATGATTATCATCCAGAATAACATTATTTAATCCTATTATTAATCCTTTCTTAGAATCACGCATCGATTACTATGGTGATCCGCTAAGAGATTTCGGGCTTCCGCACTTCCTGGAGCGCTTCGCCTTCAAGAATCCCAAGAAATTGGAAGCTCCGCAGGCGGCGGAGAGTGCCAGTGTGGCCCACAAACGCTACATGGCCCACGGAGCACGTGGTAGGCCAGTGAAATCTCTGACCAAGACCAACTGCACCGAGGACGAGATGTTCATCTTCAATTTCCTGGAGCACAAGCGCCGACAGGCGGAGATTGTTAATCAGAATAAAAAACAAAAGGAGGTAAAGAAGGATGAGACGGACAATGGTGAAGATGGCGAGGCTGGAGACGAATATCTGAAGGAGGGCGAAGTGGACGACGATGAATTTGAGGCCTATCTGGATGGATATTTCGGCAAGAAGTTTAAGGAGGGCGTCGACGAAGAGCAGGACGAAGAGGAACTCAATTTCCTACAGGAGCTGGGCGGCGAGATGCAGAAGGAAAAGTCCAAGGACAAAAAAAAGAAAAAGCAGGCAGACAAGGCGGAAGAGGACATGGATGATATAGAAGACGATTGGGGCGATGATAATTTAGGAGACGATGATGAAATGGATGTTGATGGTCAATCTGATGATGATACGGGCTCAATTGATTTGGAGCCACTGGATGACGACGATGATGACGAGGGCTCAGTTGATTTGGAGCCACTGGATGAAGACGATGATGATGAGGGCTCGATTTCCGATGGAGGCCGGGACGACAGTGATTCCAGTGACGGTCCGGAGAGTCCAGATGAGGACGATGACGCGCCACCTAGGTCTAAAAAGTCACGCAAGGATCCCTCCGACATGGTGGGAGGACGTACCTTTGCCAAGACACTCAAACAGAGCCATGGTAAGATAGTTATTATTCATTTTTTAGATCAGCATTCGTTCATGTTGATTATCTTAATCCTTCATAGATATGTCCTCTTTGTTTGCCGCCGCCGATGACTTCTCTTCGCTGTTGGAGGAAACGGCTAAGGTCAAAGGTCAGGGCACAAGCAATGCCGTTTTCAACAAGGACAAATCCTCCGTCAAGCAATTAAAGTGGGAGGAGAACCGGCGATCGAATACGAAAACCTACAAGGGCAAGAAGTTTGCCGGAAAACCAGCGGCCAAAGGTGGCAAACCACAGAAAGGGGGCAAGAAGCGAAAACACTAAACTAGATTCGATTACAAAACCTACCATTAAATTGGTTAGATGTGTAAATACACAAATGCAAGATTAAACATTTATAATTTTGAATAAGTTTAAAAGACCCCTTTGATTATCATTTGAAATGCTTTATTTTAACTGCATTTTGATATTGGTTTTATGTACAGACTTTGGTGACTTAATAGCTAGCAACTTGTTTTCAAATTCATCTGTGTACCTCAATTGATCTTCGAAGCTAAACAAACGCATTTGTTTGGTTAACATAACTATCCGTTATCGGTATAACGCTTTGGCCGAACTATAAAAATCGAGTTCAATACGATTTGATTGCTTTATTCTTACATTTAACTAATTGTCCCCATTGGTTGTTGCTTATTGGTTGTTGCCTCCTCTGTAGGTAGATTGGGTGTAGTCTATGGTCTAGAATAGTTCCAGAGATCTTAAACTACGACGAATTGCCAATGATCGCGCCTATAAAAAACTCATGCCAAACAGTTCCTTAATATGGTTTTGTTTTGCTTATAAAATTTAAGTTTTGTTTAACTTTTTGTATTGCGACTTGGAGTTTTTTTTTGGGTTTTACATTTGTGTGTGTTCTAAGGCAACTTGTTAAAAGGCAACTTTAATATAAATGTTATTTGTTTTATACTAAAATTTACACCATGATTTTTAACATCCTTTTCATACAACTATACGGCCAGTTTACACAGTTTAGATATGTGAATTGGTTTTGGTTTTAAGTTTTTGTCAGCGGAGGGGTTTATGTGGTTGCGTTAAAAACATTTAAATAATACACAATAAAAATATACAAATCAAGAGAGTTTACAATAACGTAATTTTTTTAAGTTTATTTAGATTTCATCGATTTTCATTGCATTAACTAACTTAGTTACAGGTTTTGCGGCAAATTAAAAAATTAAACAATCAAAAATACTTAACAAAACAAATAAAAGTTAGTTTGCCCTTAACAACTCTACGACTATTTACGTTTCTTGATCCGTTTCTTGATCAGTTTCTTTTGCAAAAAACGCATTGGTTTTGGCTCGGCCTCGAAGAAGAACTTCGCAGTTTCATGTGGAAATGGCTCTTCGGGCGTTGCATCTTTTTTCCTTTAGTTTTAACTGAAATGATTTAAATATTATAAGGAAACATTGCCAAATGCATTCATAATCAAATGGATTATTTAAACCCGATTGCAGATGGCAATATATACTGGGCGGGATTTTCTAGTTAATTGTTGGGTAGTGTTGAGAATGCTGCTTTAGGAATAAAGAATATAACTTAATATAAAGCACAACTTAAACCAAATTTTTGTGTATTTAGGGGCTTGTGTATCTTTCTCACTGTCTTGCTTAAACATAATTTTGCACTAAACTAATTGCAAACCGTAATAATGATATTAGTGATTGTGTTCTGTGTCGGTAATTGTTAAAGTTTTGTTTCAATGTCTTAACCGCTCTAAGATCAATGCAAAAAGTTGCCTTTGTATAGTTCCCATTTTTTGTGTCTGACTTTTTTACATTTAGGCTATTGAAATAATTAACTAGCACAACAAATCGCATATATAAAACACTTATAAGGACGTTGCTGTTACCCCTCCTATTAAAGTTTAAAGTGTTAAGTTGGTTTCCGTACTTCGTATTCCACTCATGCTCTCCATTGTTAAATAGTGGGGTTAGTGGGTTTGTTGTTGGGTGCAGAACCCCAAGGAGTCTTCACCCACAGATTTGCCCGGGGTGTGGTCGTCGTTGTCCTGGTAGGGCCATTGGGTCAATGTCTGTCGTCAGCTGTACATCCGTGGCCTCCTGAAGTCGCCCTCCCACTGCAGCACCGCTCGCGGTTGCTCCTCCTCCTCGCCCAGCGTCTCGTTCTTGATTTCCACCACCTCTAGCTCGTCGTCATCGTCATCCTCATGTCATTGGAACACATACCGTTGCCGCAGCGCCCGCGCCCTCTCCGGTTGCACTCGCGTCGGCGGTCGCGGCACCTTGGGCTCCCGTTTTGCGCGCTTCAGTTGCGACGCCTTGGGCCGTGGGAAAGTCAGCGGCTTCTCGTAAGCATAGTCGATCTTTTCCAACTTAATGTTGGGCAGGCAGTAGACCCGGCGCTTCTTCTTGAACCTATTTTTGAGCACCTGCTGCACTCCGTTGATAAGCAAACAGAAGTGCCGCCAGCTGGCCCGCGACTTACGCCACGAATTTGCCGTCTTGCTGAAACCATGGAAACTCTCCTCTCTCTGCTTAGTGCTTCCGAACGAGGGAGGCAATGTGCGTACCACGCGTTGGGTTCTCTTCGGTATGCGGGTCACCACGATGTCCACGGGCGGCGGCAGCTGCTGCATCAGCAGGCGCAAGGACGCCTTGTTGTCTTCCTGTGTGGCGGTGCTGACAGGATGTAACAGCTGGCTCTCTGTGCGACGCTGCTGGCGCGTTCTCGGCCGTCGAATGGGCTGATACGTTTCAACTGGAGCTGGAGGCGGTGGCATGTTTTGCCGATCCTCCTGCGGCAGAGGCAGTTCGGTATAGTACTCCGCGGGCAGCGGAAGAGGCGGCGCATCCTCGTCGAAGCCGTAGAAGTCCGTCGGGCACTCAAAGGCCGGGTCGAATCGTTCGTGAATCACCAGGTCCTCGTCGTCGGAGGGAGGAGCAACTGCCGCAGTTAAAGTGGCTGCATTGGTTATAGATTCGCTGGCCGGCACAGCCTCATCCGTGAGCAGGGTGATACCCTCATCCTCCGCCGACTTGTCGAGTGTGGTTTCAGGCTGCTCCTGCTCGTCTAACATACCTGACGTCGGCTGCTCCATGGTGTCCTCGCTGAGGTCTACCACGACCTGCTGCTCTGGCGACACAATGATATCCACGTCCGGATCATCACTGGTGTATTGCAGCCACTCGCTGTCTAGAATATCTGCTATTGTAGGCCGATCGGCCGGATTTCGCTGCAGGCACCAGCCAACCAGATGCCGAAACGCTGGACTTGAATTCTCCCAGCGCTTTGAGCGCTGGTTGAACGTCTCCCGACGCATTCGCTTGCGAAGCTCGTGATGGGCATGGGCGGAGTGATCCACATCGTCCAAGTTCTGCCTGTACGGCTGATGACCCACCAGCATGGTGTAGAGAGTGGCCCCAAGACCGTAGATATCCACCGCTGGCGAATAAGTGACGAGATTCGCGTCCGCTAGCATTTCGGGAGGAGCGTAGTCTAGCGTGTAGCGTGGCTTGTCCTTCCAGCTCTGGAAACGATTATTGTAACTGTGGGTGGATAAAACAGATAGAATAAACAAAAATAAATAAGCAATTTTAGATTGTCTCACCAGGCATTGCCAAAGTCAACCAGTTTGACGTGCCTATCCTCCCGGCTCTCGAACATGACGTTCTCTGGCTTCAGGTCCCCATGTAAAAAGTGCTTAGAATGGATGTGGCGCACGGCCATCACCAGTTGCAGAAAAATCTCCCGGCACGACTGCTCATCCATACGGATGGATGCAGTCAGCTCTTCGCCACACAGGTACTCCATGATGATCCAAGTCTCACACTTGTCCCTAAACGTTCCATGGTAGCTAACAATGTTTTTGTGACTGTTAGTATCTAGAGCGCACGAGATCAGTGCGTCCACCTCGGAGGGACGGAACTTGGACAGTGGTATAACCTTGGCCATAAAGACCATCTCCGAGGAGCTATCTACCACAAAGTGACAAGTACCATAGGCTCCGCTCACGGTGCGGGTGCCCAATTCGAGGTCATCAGGTCGTGATGGTATATTCTGCATTAATAGGGCAAGTTATTAATTATGGTTATCAAATAGTATTGCAAACTTAACCCACCTGAAGTCCTGGATTGCAGTATTGAATCTGGCACTGGTTATCCCTTCGCATTTGCTCCAAATGCTCCGGTGCTACATAGGTGTAGCCGCGGAAGAGTCGAATCCGGCTGGGCGGAGCATCGCACTCGGGGTCCTCGGGAACCTGGTCGGTGAACTCATTGCTAAAGTTCTGCACATCGTCCTCGGAGGTGAGGGTGGGCTTGTAGGGCGCTTTGCGGCGCTTGTTGCGCAGCTCCTGCCAGTTGATGCCGTGGAAAAAGGCGTGCTCCTTAATCTCGCTAGCGTCGCGATGATTGCCCCCCAGCCGCCTCTTGGGGTTCTTCTCCAGCATCTTCAGCACAAAATCTCGGGCATTAGCGCTGAATGAGGAGGGAATCAACGGTTGCTCCTTCTGGATCCGTCGAGAGATCTCCGACTGCTGGCTCTGCCCGTCAGACGTGGCGAATGGCGAGGCACCGGTGAGCAGCTCAAAGGTAAGCACACCCACCGACCACCAGTCCACGGCACTGTCGTGCCCCGGCGGCCCCGTCCTGATGATTTCCGGTGCCATGTATTCCAAGGTACCGCAGAAGCTGTGCGCTCGATACTCATTCTCGGCAGTGAGGATCTTTGACAGTCCAAAATCAGAGAGTACAATATGCCCCTCGCCATCGAGCAGAATGTTCTCCAGCTTAATGTCCCGATAGATGATCCCCAGCTGATGCAGTTGCTCCAAGGCCAGAACCACCTCGGCTATGTACACACGTACGCGAGACTCCTCAAAATGTTCCGCGTGGTAAAGATGCGTGAACAGCTCTCCGCCATTAGCAAAGTCTACAATTTTAAGCGTTTTATTCAGTTGTTTTTAGCTTTGGCTTTAGTCGACAGCATCTTACCTAGCACTAGATATAGCTTCGACGAGGATTGAAACGCGTAATGGAGACTCACGAGAAAAGGACTGCGCTGAACAGCCTCCAGTACCTGGAAATAAATAAAAAAAAACTTTAATAAATATTTGTCTCTTTTCAAAAAAATATTTCAAAGCATTAATATTGCCTGATTTCTTGTATTTGTTTTATACAATGTCCTTTATTAAAATTAGCATAAGTCTGAATAACTTTAAAATTCTAATAATTGTACTAATAAATTTTAATCACTCTTATCGATATTTCAAGTTTGCTGATTTCGCTTATCACAAGCTTCGTTTTTTTCCGATTTGGTTTTTAGCTTTGTTTTTAAAAATACGGCTTAAATGCATACGTAATATGTGGGTTTTTTGTTTTGCCTTCATTATTATTGTTGTTTCTTATGATTAATTAAGAAAGAAAGGAAATACATGAAAGAGAAAAAGCGAAATCAAGTACTTTGAAAATGAATTATTATTTTTGCCTTTCGCTCTTTTCTTTGAGATAAAACTTTCACATTTCATGCCGATTTACATTAATAGTTTCGAACAGAACAGTACTGAAAGGCCTGAGTAACACTAACCATACAAAATATCCGATTTTTTCTCGCTCGCAAATATAAAACTATTCACATTTTTTTTGTTTGATAACGAAGACCAAGAGCTTATTTTATTTTATTGACTACTGCTGTTTATTCCTTTCTATTTTAACCGCTGCGATGCGAATTATAGACTTGTCGAATCGCATATAGCCGGCGTTGTTTGATAACTGGGTTAGTGGCACAGGTATTTTACCTTTAAAGTCAAGAGGGGGGAAGAGGAGGGAAGGGTAACCGAGTGACACGAAAATAGAGCATGAAAACAACTCAAAGGCACGGCGCCGAATTGTAAATTTGTTTAAGTTATCTGCCGCTATTGCGCCTACACCTGTTTGCTGTTATTTAACGCATTTTGTTGTTTCTCGCATTTTCTTTTCTGTTTTCATTGATTTACTACAACTCTCTCGTTGACGGAGAGAAAAAAAACCGGTTGCACTAGGCAGTTGCTACAACAACTTCCACTATTGATCTGAGCAGGAAGCTCTCTCCAGCTCTCGCGACTTTCTACATAGGAAAAAAACTAATATTTGTAATTGATAAGTAAAAAAGTCACTGTAAATCATTTCAATTTAAAATTCAAATAACCAAATTATATTTTTTTAAGAAAATAAAAATATTTATTGGAAATCTACAAATAAAGACTATATTGATATAACATTAATCTCATAACAAAATGGCAAACAACTTAATTAGCTGAATAATCTGTTTTTTTCGGTGTAGACTTGTACATATCCTCTCTTTAGACTTAGCTTTTTGCCGGTGCAACAAGAACAAGTCCCTATGTGGGTCACAAGAACATTTCTCTTCCTCTCTTGTCCCACTATCCCTTATACTTTCCCGTTTACTATCTTCTGCTTTTTTTCGGTTCGCTACTGGAAACTGTACGTGCGACTTTGAAGGTTGTCAAATCGCTCGACGGGTTTAATTTCAATAAGCTGCACTTTATTGTCGTCATTAAAGTGAAGAGGAATCCAAAGTAAAAGAAATCTGGAAGCGGTGTGATTGCAAAAACATCACGCAGCGGTAAAAAGGCAACGGTGAACAAAAAGCAAAAGAGCTACCAAAAAAATGAGTTGATTAAACACGTTTGCTTTGCAGTCTTTCTGGTAAAAACAAATGATTAAAAGGGTTTTATGGGTATACAGTGGAGGTCGCGTTTGTATAACTGAACGTACGTTATCTTTTGTTGGTTATATTTATTAAACTGTAACAAATCTTTATTTATTCGATTTATTTTGACACATATTTTTTGTGTGGCAAATCATCATATTTTTCCTAACAACTTTAGGTTCTATTCTAATCTGCTTAATGAAAAGACTTTTTGAGTGAGCTAGAGAATCTTAATCTTAGAGATTTATAATTTTATTGATTAAAATTATTATTACCATTAATTAGTATTCCACAACTTACCACGCGTTCCGTTTTGGTGTGTTCGGCGGTTTTACGCTTCTGGACTACCGTTATCTTATTGAGAACCTTCATTGCATACAATTTTCCGGCATCGTGCCTTGTTAACTTGCGAACAAGGAAAACCCGTCCATAGGCTGTAGAAAGATAGGAAAGTGAATAATTGGTAATTACAAACGCCCCATTAAGCTTTTACTTACCCCCTGTTCCAAGAACCCGTATTATTTTGAAATCATTCAGACTGACGGCCTCATCACTGTACAATTTGACTGGGAGGGAGGAAAAGAAAACACATACATATTAGCACTGTAATCAATACACATACTTATAATATATAAACAAATTGAACTTAAAACTAATCAATTTACCACTGCAAACCAAGTTAGTTCTCTCTGCGAGGAAAGACGATAATAAGAGAATGAGAGAAGTGTTTTCATATGTATGTATGTGTTGGCACGATAAAAATAGTTGTTTGCATTGTTTTACTTGACACATGTGAGACGAATTATCACATTTTATTTTTATCGTTAGTGCAGCACGTGTCAGACACTTGATTCCGTTTCAAGAGGCGAAAGCAAGCAAGTGGAAATTGCAATCCGTGATTATATGGGCATTTTAATGGGAAATTCCATCGGGTGGCTGGCTTAACAGAAACTTTGTTGACCACAGTCTGCGCATCTGGAAGCCAAGGACAAGGCAAATAACTTTTCTCACTTAAAGGAAAAGAGAGATTTTCTCTACACAAACATATATTTTAGGCTTCTGAGGTGGCATATGCCATAGGCCATTACGGTTAATTGGCCCGAATGTCTCGCCACGAGATTTCACAGTTTACGATTATTACTGGGCCCAGACAAAATTTGGGACTTACAGGAGCTACAGAAAAAACTTTATTAAATGAAACTATACAGTGGTCAAACAAAACTGATTGGTAAGGAGTCTCAAATAAATTAATGATTAAAAAAAATAACGCTACCTTTCTCGTATAGAAAGTACCTTATCTTACCTTACCTTAAAATAAATATTTGTATCTTTAATAATAACTAGAATGGGCTTTAATTTCAAATTATACACTCTCTTGAAGCTATTACTCAAGCCTATGTTCAATCGACCAAATGTACCGAAGGTTTCATTACCTTTTCCTTAAAAAGGAGACGTGATTGAAAGTTTAACCTTTCTAATTGGCAAACTAGGGGAAAATGTAATTTCAAACCGTGGAGGTAGACATTCACCTGATAAGCAATTCAATTTAATTATAGCAGACATTTCAACCAATCGAAAGGCCTATAATTCCGCAGTGACCACTGTAATTCAATTTGGGTTACCATTACATAAAACGTCCCCAAGTGACTAATTTGGTTGAGCAAACTCATCCCACTATGTTCTTAGTGAGTCAGTAAAACCCATTTTTACCCAACTTCCTCCCATTCCAAAAGTCTGAGTGTGTGACGTTTATAAATGTGAATTTTAGCTGCTGCTTTGACAAATTAATCCTAGCCACAGCAGCAGCTTGTGAAATTGTCCTTGAACTCTAAAGGACATTCTGTTAAGTTTAGTGCAGCAAAAAGGAATGTCTGTAGCATTTTGTCCAACATTATTTCACATTTACAATCTATTTGCTCGTGCATTCAACCCTCGTGCAACGGAGCCATCAAAATTTCGAGTTGTTGTGAAATCAAGAAACATTGAAACAAACTTCGGTAGGGGTTAATGGAATTGAGTTGCTCGGTCGAACCTGTTGTATTATTTGAAAATACAACTTGGTAACAGCAAGTAAATGTAATTTACGCGAAACACCAGCAACGCACAGGATGACGCGTGCCGAAATTCTTGGAGGGGTGCAACGAACCCAGGACTTTCAGTGGGTGGCGAATTATGGAGGGCAACTTTTCGCCGAAATTATTGATTCAACAAGAAAAGCTGGAAAGATGGTGTAAAAACTGGTTACCTGTAGAGGGGAAACACTTACTTGGGCGGGCGGTGGCTACCTTTTAACTTGAGCAACTGAACTATTGGTCCAATCGTTTTATAATAATAAAACAGCACTTCATAGTTTACATTTTAAATTCTTTTAGTTTTAGAAGTTCGATGGCATTTTGGCTTGCTTTATATAATCTTAGATGATTTAAAAATTTAGTTCGAATTCTGATAAGACAATTGCTTATAAATAGGTTAAAGGCTATTATTTACAGACTGATAAGGTCTTGCAATTTAAATTTAATTATACCTGGAAATTCCTAGCTTTGATTTTTAAAAAGTTGCAATTTTTATATATATACGAATGGAACATTTTCGGCATTATTAAAGGCAAGTGTGACTTTTTCTTATGTATTTTTAAACCGGACTGTTTTGGACGAATGTGACGTCGGGCAAATGAATTGGCCTTGATATGCATTATATTCTCTTGCCAGGTTCTTAAACCGAATAACCGCACAAAAAATATATTTGCTGTGACTAGGCAAAGTTTAATGAACGCAAAGAACATGAATAACACAAACCGCAACAAGTGGAGAATGGTTATGAAAGCAAAATTTTCGTTTTTCTTTGCTTCTGAAAAACAAGTGCAAAAAGTGCACAAACAATGTTTAACTTCATGTATTTCTGTATATTGTACAAAAGTAAACAACGAAAACCATTTGCTTTGCTAAACTAAAGGATGAAGTGGATAGAAATGGTACTAAATGTGAAAGTGATTTTATGTCCTAGTTTATAATAATATTTTTAAAGTATTTGTTTTTACTAAACCATTGTTCAATATTGTAGAACTGATATATTATTTTCAAAATGATTGTTATCGATTATGATATATTCCTCTGCATTATTATTTTATAAAAAAGAGGGTACTGTAATTACACGGTCCCGCCCTTTTGCCGTGATAGTGTTCTTGTGATAATTAAAGACAAAACAACAAACACAGCTCACCTATCAATTTGCAGGCAATTATCCCTGAGGCTAACTCGTTCCGCCACCTTAACACATATCTATGCTAGATGTTCGGCGAGTTGCATTGTCAAGTTCAAGTAAATAAATTGCCTACAAACAACAACCAACCGTTTATGCAAACAAGCACATTTGTGAACATAGCAAACGCGCAAACACAGCGATGCACATACATATGAACGGACGGACATGGTCACGACTGCCTGGCGATGTATAAAGCCGTACAGTGGGTCGGAATATAGCCTTCCTTTGGATAGTACCAACCAAATTCGACTGGAATATACATACAACCGATCTTGGTTTGAAGAGATTCCAAATCCCAGATAGACACTTCATATTTACGATAATTATAAACAATATTTGTTACATAAAGGCTAGAATTAGTACTAATACTAATTTTACTCCCTACACAAAGTTCTCACGCTATGAAAGTTCGACTACCAAAAAACAATATTTTTAAAACCTCATAAAAACACTTTCAAGACCGTTTTTTAAATAACTTTCAAATGTGTTCCTTTTTATACGGTACATTCGATGTAAATGTGATAATAAAAATTTCCATTACTTAGCAAACAAAAATGTACAACAGGAAAACTAAGTTTTCATCCCACTGTTATTAAATGAGTCTTTTGGGTGGTGGGTATTGTGTCTGCTTGATGTATATAGTGTGGTGAGAAGTGAGTACGCAGGCGGGGATGTTGGGCGATTTCAGGGGAGGTCAGTAGTTTTGGATTTGGCCCGAAGAACGAACAAAGCCGGGTTGAGTTTTCTGGGTAATGGTGTCAAGGTTGAATGCATGTGCTCCACTTTTCAAAGGACGCCAGAGACGGCACTCCATCTGGCATTGACCAAATGCCAGCCACTCCGCCCCCTTCTCAATCAAACCTTGAGACATCCCCGGTTAAAGTTATCAATTATTTCTACCCCTTGTATACCAACTACATTGTTTGATAACCAAAGTTTCTATTGCCTTTTGTAAGGCATGCAATATTATGGTCTGTAACTTAATCCAAATGACTAGGTAGTTGTTTTCGTTTAAACTAAGTTAAGCGAATGTGCTAAGCCTATCAGACACGCATTTAAATAGAAGCATATCAATGGAGCACAGCAACAAAATAAAATTATGATTATCACAAAAGGCTATACTATATTATTATAAATAAAAATGTCGATTACAGTAAACCTTTTCAAATTAAAACCTTTGTTGCCTACAAACAAAATTTTATCCATCAAATTTGTAAATTTAATTTTATATAAACCATTTTTTGATAATTTAATAATAAACAAGTATGCTGCATAATAAGGTATCGAAGTTTGCATGTGTTATCTAACTTGTGTTTGCAGTAGAGTTGGCGTTATCTTATTGTCATTAAAGGAAATTTCCCCGGTTGAATGACTCACCGTAGGATCGCAGATCGGTCACCGTCTCCAGGTCCCGTTGATGCGCCTCATTGTCCAGATCCAGGGGCGTACTATTGCTGGTGGGCATGGCGTAGGAGGGCGTGGCCGACGACGAGGCCATTGACGCTGCTGCTGCCGCTGCTGCAGCCGCCGCCGCTGCAGCTGCATTATTGGACTTCGTCTTTGACTTGCTTGGGGGCGATTCCTCGGGCCCCATCCCGTTCGTTTCCTCCTCCTCTGTATCCTGGTCATAGTAGTCCCGCTCCGGATCCCTTTCTTCGTCGCTCTCCGCGTCCGAGATGCAAACAATCTCAGCCACATTTGTGGATGGTGGTGAAGGAGGTGTAGGCGGAGATATAGTTTCGCGATAATTGTAGTCCCTTCCAGAAGATGATGTCGTTTTACTGCTGCTATTGTTGTATTGGCCATTGGTGGCACTTATGCTGTTGTTGTTATTATTATTGTTATAGGCCAGGGACTTGCCATTTCCCGAAACAGAACCCTCTGTATTCGGTTTGGACTTTTTGCCATTGGTCAACATTTCTGATTTACTATACTTCCGTTTTTTGCCATTGCCATTAACCAGGAGATGTCCATTTATATGACCTCGCACCACCTGATCGTGGTCCCCGTCGGATGGTAACCCCATTTCATGGCCACTTTGCTGATTTTTGCGACGCGACTTACTTGTGCCGCTGCTCAAGGTCTCGTACTGCTGCTTTTGCATGCGACTCATTTCTAATTCCTTCGCTATTTTCTCTTTTCGAGATACCAAGTGGATTATATTATTCTACGTACAATTTACGTAGTTAAAGAATTCTCCAACAACTAACAAAAAAAAATAAAAAGGTCCAGTGACTGATCGTGTCGCATCGTTAAGCTGAAATGTAAGGACATTTTTTTGTTAAGTAAAGAAGTTTTAGGGGTAGCGACTCTTACAGATAGATCAGCACTATAAAAATAAAGATTTTAAAGAAGAAAATAATATTAGAATATAAAACATCTGGTGTATAAGTTTACTTCTTTGACACTTTTTTCAATGTTAATGTTTAAATTGATTTTGATAAAAGGTTGTTCATATTGAACGTTCTCATAGTTCAGGCGATTTAATAGATGTAGTTTTCTTTTATTTTGAATTAATTAAAATTTAATTTAATTTTCTTCCGATATTACTTTAAAAAAAACATGATAAACATGATAAGATAATTATAATATATAGACATCATATTTAAAAATAAACGTTTTATTTTAATTTTTTTTTTGTAATATAAGAAACATTTTAGGTTTGAATATTTTAGACCGTTCCTTTGTTAGAAGCATTTATAATAAAAAATTCAACGTTTTCTTAATGTTGATGTTTTGAACCCAGTCTTATTGCGTTCCCCTTAGGCGATGTCCACCGTACCCTCCGCATGCCATTGCCCATTCCTATTCTCATCCCATATTCATTTCCATTCCCATTTTTTACAATATGGTACAGTTTCAGCGCACGCGGGAGTACTTTTCCCGCTACCAGCGGGCAATTGGATCGGGAAATTCGTTTTGAAAGAAAATAAATATATAAGACTCCGACTCACCTCGCGAGTTAAAATAAGCGCAATATTATAATGCAGACGTAGGAATCCAAATCCGTGTGAGTGTGGGCGGGGGGGAAAGTGTTGGATTATGCGTGGGGCGGCAGCGATGTGCAACACTGAACGTTCCGATGATAATGCGGACCGATTTTTGCAGCACTGGCGTTGACTTAAATATTATTCAACCAATTTTTGGTTTCGGTTTTTTCTTATTATATTCTGTTAGATTATCACAATCTTTATCAGCCGCGAGTTTTGCACTGCCACAGTTTTTATTTTTTTCCACCGTTCTCTTTGCCCACTTCTACGTACACATATGCACACGCACACGCTGGCACTTTCTGTATCGGCGACTGCGTTTTTAAAGCGTTTTTGTTTTCGTCCGCAGATTCTGCTCCTTGGCGACTGTTGCTGTTGCTCTTGATATCCAGGGATTTTTCGATTTCCCTGTGTATATCTATTTGCACTTATTTTTCAATAATATAATATCTTTTTGATATTGAAATTTGCTGTTTTTTAGTGGGTTACACGCGAAGGTTTTTACCGCCGCTTTCTACTCGTTCACGCACACACACACTGAAGCGCGGGACGCTCTCCGACATCTGCTTTGCGCTCTCATTCGTGAACACTTATTAGCAACGGCCACCTTGATTTGCAGCCGCCTCGATTTTCACTTGATCAGGGCTATATTTCGGCAAATCGGAATAATCACTGCCGCTGGCGGCTCGAACGTTTCACACCGGATGGCTGGCTATTTGGAATTTTTTGATACGAACACCCACAACACGACCCGTACGCAGAAATTTTCCTTTTGCTTTTGTGTCATTTGTTATCGCTATCGGCGACGAACTATCGATAGGTGGTGCAGCGATAGTGTTGGTAAATGCAACGGGGCAGTGGTGTTGGTTATCTGTCATATATCGCGGATCAGGGGTGGCAAAAACTATCGTTCAAAGGAAATTATTAGATTTTTAAAATAAAAATTATTAGGATTAAATAATTCTTAAAGTTAATAAAAATATGTATTGGCAAGATTACTACTACCCATTATGCATTTATGCAAATATTTTAAGCTCGGTTGGGTTACTTGACAACTCATAAATTTCTAAATAAATTTATGTGTATTTTAAAAAATTTTCCATGCAAGCATTGAAACTTTAATAATGATTACCTTGTTGGGTTTGTATTTATTGAGCTGCTTTGTAAATTAATAATTTGTTAGAACACAATTAAACCTTAAAATGTAACTAGAATCTCCGACAAACTTTTTCTCCTCAAATCCGGAACTGTGCAGCCGTCTTTTGGATAACCCACTGGCAAAAGGATAAGAAGTTTCTCATTTATTGGACGGTTCAGCAAGGATCGCAAGGCAGGACCGCAGTTCAAAGGAGTTGTGACCAGGGAAGAAAGTCCTGCGGCTTGGAGAGCACCCAAAAGGATCCCAGCCGAAATCGAAGTGGATATCTCATTGTAGTAGTGCCTCTTCCGCCTTCCGTCCTCCGAAAATCCATAGATTTGCTTGAAGATCAGGATGAGATACGGGGCATCTGTGAGATACTCCTTGATATGATTGGTTTGCAGTGGTCGAAGATCTGTGACCCACTGTTTATGCATCCGCTGGCTATAGTTGATTAGCTCCTCCTGCTCCACAATTTCTCTGATAGATTGTTTGACTTCCGGTTTTTCTATGACGCAATATGTCCAGGGTTCAGTATGGGCACCACTGGGAGCAGTTCCTGCTGCCCGGATGCAGTCCTCTATTATGGAGAGATCTGGTTTGGGATGGCTTTTGAAGGAGCGAATGCTACGACGTCCTCCCATAAGTTCATAGAAGCGTTCCGCCCCATTTGGATTGAGATTCTGGCCAGGCACGAATGGCACATGGGGTTTCTCCTCCAGAGCAGGCTGCAGTTCATCCTCCAGGTCTTCCAGATCTATCAGATCTTTAATTGTAATAAATGTAAATAAAATCATGGAAGTTGAGGTTTATGCGTAATCATTTTCCCAAAGAAATAATGAAAGAATAAATATAATGAAGAAATAATACTTGTTACTAAAAACGAAAGAAACAATCTAATTAATAACAACAATATAAAAACTAAAAAATGTAATTAAATATTTCTTTAAAGTGTACTGAAATTATGTTGAACCAATTCCTTGAGCTTTACACAATACAATTGTAATTTTCTCCATTTTAAATCGGTTTTCCATAAGAACATTAGTTTTTAAACACAAAATTAGAAATGTTTTCTACTTTTTGTCGGTGTAATAACTTTTATAAATTTATGAAAATAAGCTTACCCTCCTCCTCTTCCTCTCGGTTCTCCAGTGTATATCTCTGGGGCCCTCGACTCCATTTGTAGAACACATTTTTAAGAATCCAAATCAGGCCCAAACCGATGATAAAACTTGGCCAATTTCTTAGCACTTTGGAGTTGCTGATCAGTTCTTCCACCTCCATGGCGCTCCAATGTGCGACTGCTTTTGTGACTGAGAGAAAGTGGTTTTGTTGCTCGAGCTGACTTATCGCTAGATTAAGTCGGTCAGGGTTATTGCTGATAGTGATGTATGGGGTTTTGGTTCCAGTTCAGTTGTGCCGGCAGCAGTAGGGACAGTGACTGCACTTGAGATGGTCGCAGATCCTCGTAATGCCTTTTTCCTGGGTGCTTCTATCCAATTTGTACTGTTGATATTTTTGCGTTAAATTGGTCTCTCCAGAGGTGCGTTTTTTGGGCGGCATTGGTCGGCGTGGATTACCCTGAGCCTTGCCTTTATGATCAACTAACTGTCTCTTGTGAACGTCCCTCAAAATCTCTATGATTCGCCACTTGGCGTCGAAGTATATAAATTCGGGAGCATCGGTTAGTTCGGTTCGTATCATATCGCAAAGCATCTGCACTTGCTGGCTTTTTCCAGATTGATCAGAGGCTTTATTTTCGACTGGGATAGATGGTTCTGGAGAGGATCCCGGGAGATCTACCAGGCATTCGGACACACATCCCGAGTTTTTCGGTTGCCAGGGGCAGGCAACGTGATTTTGAGTAGGTTCAGATCCTGTGTCCTGACTTTTGGGTAAACGAGGAGAGTTTTCCGGTGGAGAGGAACTGAGTTGGGATTTAACATTCGGCTGTGATCCTGTTACCTGACATTGGGGCACACAAGGAGAATTTTTAGGTCGCCAGGGACAGGCAACTGGTTTTTGAGAGGATTCTGAGGTAGGTGCCCGCTTTTCAGTTGCTCCATCTGATTGGCAGGAGCAAATTAGATCGGTGGTTTTCAGATCTCGCTCATTGGCATAATACGAAGATTGGGTGGAAACTTTGGAGATGGATTTGTTTTGGCTGGCATCTTCTTCACTGTAATATATGGCCTTCTGTTCTGATGTAGGAGAAAAAGACACCTTCTGCTGCTGATCCTCCTGCTCGCTGATTTTTTCCTTCTGATCCTCTTGCTCATTTAAACTTTTTTCGTCGATATGCTCCTGATCATTAGGTTTTTCTTTCTTCTGCGCATCCTGTGCCTCCTGTTCTATTTCTTTTTCTTTCTCCGGATCTCCCTGCTCAGTGATCTTCGATTGCTTCTGCAATTCCATATCGCTATTCTGTTTGACAATCTTTCTGCAGCACGATAGGTTTCCAGGAAACGCAGCTAAAGGAAACCCTGTAAAATTGGTTAGGTTATGAGACAAAATCTTTGTGGTGACCATTTGATTTTTCGGATCCGTAGATAAAACTCTTCCGATGGACAGCAAGCTGTTTCCGCTGCCCAGAAGATCTTTCTCAAAATCGATGCAGAGATAAGGCACCAGGAAAAGGAACTCATTGTAGTACCAAATTGAAGGCTTCATAATTTCTCCAGAGTTCCGTCGTGCCCTTTCGATAATGGTGTACTCCCGCTCGAAGGACATTCTTAGCTCCTCGAGACATGATCTCAGTTCAGAGCTCGTGATTCCAGGAAACGACCTCGCCAAGTAATTATAGCAATCCTCATCGGTCTCTTCGTTTCCATAATATGGGTTTTTTTGGTCATACAAGTTGTCATATTTGCAGTACAAGCGGATTAGCCTCCTAATATCGTGTTCCTTTAAGTAGAAGTGGTTACCATTTACCTGATCCTGTTTCTTGGTCTTCTGGAATCGTTTTCCAAACAAAAATGAGAGAAATCCTCTCGATTTTCTGTGTTTCATAGCGGGATTGGGTGTTTTTGGGAAGGTGACTGACTCTGGAGTTGGTCTAATGACTCCTACCTCCTGGCTGTCGATGGAGCTGATCCTGGAGGAGTGGTTCCGCGTTGGCGTCATCGAACAACTCGAAGCGGAACGCTAGAAGGAGCAGCGCCTGGGTTTTAGTGCCGTCCTCCGCGATCTGTCGTTTTAGAAGCGTAACATTGGGATTGGCGTCGTCTTCACCGTGTTGAAGGTTCTTTAGGGGCAATAGCATTATAACTTATCTAAATTTTGTAGCATTATCTGTATTCCTGACTTTTTTTTTTTGATTTTTTGGACTTAAAAATAGTGACAAAAGGCACTGTTGTCAAATTTACGGGTATCCCATTTGTACAAATAAATAAATAGAATTGCGTTTGATTCACGATGAAAGATTAGCTCAGAGTTCAGTATTGATTGTTGATTATTTAATTTCTTCTAATAGACCATTTTTAAAATTGTATATTTAAACATTAAAGTGTGACCTACGTTTTCCAAAATAAAAACTTTGCCCTAAACGATTATTTAAATATTACTCTATTTATTGCAGTTTTTAAAAATACTCAAATATCTTGTCGGAAATAAGGGATTTTAAAAAAGTTGTATTAATAAGAAGCTTTAAAATAAGCTTTCAACGGTTTTAAGCGCGCAGCATGATCAGCTGATTTTCTATGCAGCCATCTTACAACACTATCGCAGAAAGAGAGAGAGCGAGCCTTGGCCTTACAGCGAAGAGCGAACAAGAGACCAAAACAACCAAAATAAGTTACGTGAAATTATAAATAAAAAATAAGGAAATAAACTTTCATCGGCCGACCAGCCAAATACAACAAAGTAGTGCTCCAAAAACTGGCAACACATTTCTGTTTTCGCCTCGTGCCATGTGAGATACATCAAATTTAAATCGGATCGGAAATCAGTGTGTACTGGTGCGCTAATTAGCGGAAGACAGCAATTTATTAAATGCGAAAAAAGCCCCACAATCATAACTTCCATTTCGACACGAAAGCCCAAGTTAAATTGCCGTTCCGTGGAACTGTGCATCAAATGAATGTGCAAAAAGTGCAATAAATCAATGAAGTGGGAGAGCCGCAAGAGGCAGAGAGACGGAAGCAGTTCCCACAACAAAAACAAGGAGAGCAAGACTTAACGGGACACTGACACCCAAAACTTACAGGCACTACGAGATTTTTACGCTAGTTCTAGTTCAACAGCTCCAAAAATGGACGAGGTCTTCAGCCTGCACATGGACAAACTGGACGTTTACGACGGTAAGTATGAGACTTTCGGGAAATTCTACTAAAAAAGTAATGAGATGTTGGGTATTTAGTAGTTCTGATGAATTTTAAGTTTTTTTTTGAGTAATCCGCCTTGCGTGATATGCGTTTAGTAAAATGAATCATTGCAAAACCTTAACAAAAATAAGATAACATAAGACAATTTATGATTCAATAAACAAATGTATTTTAAAAGTAGTAAAGCAAGCTGTAGTTTACTCTGATACTTACTGCTCATAAAAAATTGAATAGGTCATTGAATATATGTACATATGTAGATTCATACAGATAGTTTAGAACTTTATTTTAAGTAACTTTAATGACTTAAACATTTTTGTCCTTGTGTTTTCCAAATTAATTTTAAATTTGTACATTTAACACTTCATGGTAGTGTGGAAAAGAATGAAAATTCTGATCATAGGTCATCCCCTTATGATGATAGAATTCGAGTAATTGTACCGATTTGGTTGAAAAGTTAAAACTAACATGGTAGGTTTCTATTAAATCCAGCTTAAAAGTAGGTAAATATAATGAAGTAAATCAGGAGCAGCTCCTCGTTAGTCATTGTCATCTGGATCCGGGCCAGCGAGAATCTCTTGGATGATGCGGTGTCCGTCCTCCGTTTTTTCGCCCTGAATTATCAGATCCCTTAGTGTGGATATATGTTTTTCACCCTGCTCTATTTGCACTTTTAAGGAGTCGTTTTCCTTTCGTAAATCGTCGATGCGTTTCTTCCTTTCCTCAGCCGATTTCTTGGTCTTCTCGCGAGTGCGCTGTACAGCCTATTCCGAGAATAATAAAAAATCAATATAGTTGCAGCTATTTTTGGGTTTCTTCTGGGGGCCCAGAGCAACATGTTTCCCAATATCTAAAAGAACATTGGGGTGGTCCAAAAAAATGTAATGATCAACATTTAATATGGCAGGTGTGTAACAAATGTACAGGAAAACCAAAAATATTTTTTTTAATGTTAAGGCGTTTCTTAAAAATTTTAAAGTTTTTGTGAAAGTTAATCATATGTCATGTCAGTTAGAATTCATTTTTTTTACCAAAGGCAACAATACGTATGAGTAATATACTTTGAATCAAATGCGCAGAACCCTAAAAGCATTTAATAAACAAACTAATTCTTCTTGTATACACCAAAGCGCGTAGTATAAGCTGGAAGAGTAGAACTTTAAAATGTTCATACAAATTTGGATCGCCCTAATGCACATATCCTCTCTGTTTACAAGACAAAAACTTACCTCATTATTTTTCTTTCTTTTTTCTTGGTACGCTGGATCATCCGACCGCGGACTCAATGGGGATTCGCCATTTTTGCTGGTCGACGCCGCATTTGCAGTTCTCTTCCTGGCTGGCATTCTCTCCGTGATAATTTTGATCTGTATTTAGTTTAAATTCAATTTAAAACTAACAAAATGGAGCAGAAAACAGAGAGACGAAAATGTTGTTGTGAAATTACACGAAAAACAGCTGCTCAACTTCGGACCAGTGTTGGAAAGCGCGCACTGCGCACACTGCCCAGCAAACAAATACATTGCGGTATTATTAAATTAATGGAAAATCTAAATTCAAATTCGGCGAACTATAGCCCTGGAATGTTATTCAACAAATGTCATTAACCCGAAACTTTTTCGTTTGCTCAGACGTTTTTTTTATTATTTATCAACTGTTTATACAATTTATTTGTAAAGACTGATTTCTTGTATGTAGATGTAGTCTAATGCAATAAAATTAAATGAAATGTAATACGTAATAGTCAATAAATGTTTTGAATAAGCAAGAGTTTAAATTATCAAACGTGTTTTCAACATTTCACCCAACAAACAAATTGCACATCATAAAAGTCCACTGACAGCTCTTAACAACACTGTGATTGTGATTTATTTGCGACCGGCTCATTTTTGCATGCAAATCTCAGGAAAATGTCCTCGCCAGCGCCCAAATCACCGGAACTTTCGGATAAAAGCAAGAAATATGACAGACAAATCAGGTCTAAACTATATAATTGATAACGAAAGTTATATTACCTTTACTTGTACCGTTTAGGCTGTGGGGCGAGCATGGACAGACGCTTTTGGAGGCGGCCACAATTTGCTTGGTGAATGTTACGGCCGTGGGCTGCGAAACTACCAAAGGATTGGTTCTTCCCGGTATCGGAGGCTTCACTGTGGCCGATGGCAGCACCGTTAAGGAGGAGGACCTGGGTAACAAGTCGGTAGTGGTCTCCACAACTCTTGAACTCTTATTGTAAACCATCTCCTCTCTTAGTTTCTTTCTGGATCCCAGTTATCTGGGCAAATCTAAAGCCTTGGCTTGTATGCAGCTACTCCAAGAGCTCAATCCCGATGTGAATGGCGACTATGTGGAGGAGAGTGCCGACTATATATTGGCCAACAGGCCCAACTTCTTCGATAGCTTTGATTTGGTCATTGCCTCCAATCTGAATGAGCAAACTCTGCTTCTTTTGGCCGAACGTTTGTGGGAGGTCAACGTGCCATTGATCTACTGCCGATCGCTGGGCATGCTGGGTACAATACGCCTGCAAATTCGGGAGCACTGCATTGTGGAGGCTCATCCGGATAACAGGCAGTTTGATCTGCGTCTGGAACATCCATTTGATGCTCTGCGGGAGCACCTCGAAGGAACAGAGGTGACCAGTAAGGTGCCCTGGCTACTGGTGCTCCATAAATACCTTAATGTCTGGCAGAAACAGCAGACGGATGGGGCTCAAACTCCCCGAAATTACAAAGAGAAGAACCAGTTGAGGGAGGTTATCAGGGAGGAGATGAAGACGGATGAGGAGAACCACGAAGAGGCCATCAAGGCGGTCAATACAGCATTTGGAGCGGGACAGGTTCCCAAAGGTCTTAAAGCGATATTCGAGGACGATGCCTGCGAACAGCTAAACAAGAAGGTTGCCTAAAGTTGCTCACTACTTGCCTATAATGTGATAAATATCTATAATGTATTTGCAGAGCAATGTCTTCTGGATTATGGCAAAGGCCTTAAAGCACTTCGTCACACACGAAAACGACGGCCATCTGCCACTGCCTGGCGTTCTGCCGGATATGACGGCCAATACGGACTCTTACATAGCCCTGCAGCAAGTCTACCGCCAACAGGCGCTGCAAGATGCCGACCAGGTGTACCACAAGTGCCAAGACTACCTCAAGCAACTGGCCCTGCCCGCCGATAGCATCGATGAGAGGAGCGTGCGTCTGATTTGCCGTGAAGCTGCCGGATTGACGGTCATAAGGGGCACTCGCATTGCTGAGGAATACGAAAAGAGCAGTCGCCTGCTGCCACTAGGTGAGAATCCTATGTTTAAATTGTTGAATATCCTTGAGTAGCCTTACTTTTCCTCCCAGTTGAGGACAACGAAATGCAGGGTAACCTCACGGCCTATAACTTTGCGCTGCGTGCCTACGAGCGTTTCCTCAGTGAGTGTGGCAACATTCCCGGCGAGTGCACCGTGGAGCAGGACATCCGACGCCTGAAGAGCATTGCCGCCAAGATGCTAAGCGATCTGGGCATGCATGCCAGTATCAGCGACGATGTGCTGCACGAGATTTGTCGCTACGGCGGAGCAGAACTGCATGCGGTCTCCGCTTTTATAGGTAAGGTTTATATGTAATTTGACTTAAGGCCAATTAGATTTAATCTTTTGCATTCACTTTGCAGGTGGCTGTGCTGCCCAGGAGGTAATAAAGATCATTACCAAACAATACAAGCCTATCGATAATACTTTTATATACAATGCTATAACCACTGAAAGTGTAACTTTGAAGCTATAAACAAATCGTATTTTCATACAATTATAAATATTTGTAAATTCTTTCACACTGAATTCATTCTTTGTCTTTAATCCTAGAAATAAATTAGACAAGAAATAAACAGTTTTATATACAATTCTATTTTTTGACAACTTAAAAATGAAGCAATTGACAAATGCCATTTTGTGTTTAGCTTTTTTTTACTTGGATTTATTAGTTGACACTCTGTATTTTTGGACATAGAATTTTCCGAACATAAAGAGGAAAGGCACCATATAGGCGGCACCAACTGCACTTATCCAGGTTCCGAACTTGCAGCCCTGAATAACCATCTGTAATGCCCAGAGCAGGACAATGGTAAACTGCACCAACTGGAGGGCAGTTAGATAACGCTTCCACCACAAGAACTTCTGGACGCGAGGACCCAGCACACTCAGCGCATAATAGCTATACATAATGACGTGTACAAACGAGTTTATAATGGTTGGCACATAAACTGAAAAAAAAAATACTTTCATCCAAAAACACACGCTTTAAAGAACTGAGACTCACCTGATCCCGTCGGCATCCACTTGATAAATACCCAGCAGAAGATAAACATGGTGCTATGATGGTACACATGCAGGAAGCTAAGCTGCATCCATTTGTGGCGCAGAATAAAAAAGGCCGTGTCGGCGAATTCCAGTATTTTTGAAATATAGAACCACCAAAAAGCCGCTGCCATCTATTTATCATGTTTTTACATCCGTTTCAGTTTCATTCTTATCTTTATGATTTGTATGCACCAACTTACCCGGATTTCATTTGGATTGTAGCTCACACGACACGGCTGACACTTGAAGCTATAGTCGAGGGCTCTTGAAGCTGTGAAGAGCTCCATGCAGATGTGGGCATTCAGGAGGACCATGGCCAAACTGTGGCAGAACAATGGCACTCGCAGCTGCAGCGGCTTATACCTGTTCGTCCGGGTCACCAGCGAGTGTTTGTAATAACTGTCTGGATGGATGGATAACCCCCTGACCTCACCTGGCTATCCACTTGGGTCCGTAGCCCACCATCAGTAAATAGCAGGCCAGCAGGACGGGCACATTCCATGGGGAATCTACCAGGGGCCAATCCTTCGTCCGCTTATCAACCAAATCTGCAAACGGGTACGAATATCTTCCAATTTGTGTATCATTGCCAATGGAGGACATCGAATGTGTGCTCTAAGAACTTCCAGATTAGACTGAACAAGCTAGCCTCCCGAAATTCGGCTTTTATATACGGTTTGGCCATGATCGCTCCGCTGATGCGTTGATATGTACCCGCCCAAATTAAATTAGCTGTCGCTGGAGCATAAACGTTGGGGAAGGTCTAGGTTTTACCTTTAAGATTTTCATTTAGACGTTAATAGGTGCATTTTAATTGATTTTATTTTCTGTGTCAGTTTCGAATTGAATTTAAAATATCTTGTTTTTCATTTGTTAATAAACCACACTCGAAATTAAGTCACACAAAAGTGGAAAACTAAGATATTGTGTGTAGAGGTAAAATAAAGTTATAATGTGAAATAAATATTAAAAAATTATTAGATCATGTCGTATTCTCCGCTCATAAACAAAGGTCAGCATATTATTTTTTGGGTCACTTTTTAATGGCACTTTGTTAATTTTTGCTAATGTCTTTGTCAGTGCAGTTGGTATTTAATTAGTTAACTTACTTTTCGTTACTGCTTCTCAAAAAGTACAATAAAATATTTGTATTCATATAGAATTGAACCAATGACATTCTGGGTTTGGCGCTTAATGAAAACTCAAAGCATAGCAAAACGCTTAACGACCAATCATAACTTCACTATGAGATCGCGAGTTCTTAAGCCTAGCTTGGTTTAAAGGCAAATGTAATATCGCTAAGTAATTCAGTGAGTCAGAGAAACAATAAATATTTTTTTCAAAGGTCGAACTTTATTTTTCATGGAAAAGCATTGCATGTTTTTAGGTATTATGATTAGAAACGTCTGAAGCGGCGCTCACGGACACGGTAGCGTCTATCCTCACGATCGTCATCGGAATCGCGATCTCTGAAGCGCCTACCTTCCCTTTCGCCGCGTCGTCCCCCCCTGCGGACAATGATGATCTCCCTCCCCCCGCGCCTCCTGCGGTGCCACCGGCGACGCCTCTTCTTCGACTCCTCGGTGGTGGTGGTGGTGGTTGTGGATGCGGTTGTGGTTGTGGTTGTGGGGGCGACCGTGGTGGAGGTAGTGGTGGCCGTGGTATCAGTGTCAGAGGTCGTATCAGAGCCAGAGGTCGTATCAGTGTCAGAGGCGGCGGCAGCTGCCTGCGTTGACTGGACAACGAAAGTGGCCAGGACGACCAGGGATAGCGCAATAATCAGACGCATGGTGACTTCTCTTTCAGCTGGGCTTGAGATTCTGATTCTACCAACCACTGGATGGCGTTATTTATAGTTAAGGCATGTAAAGCATCAAAGGCTACTGCCAGATATCGCTTGTTTGCAGACCAAATATGTAAATATGTTCTGCAAAACTTAGTTATAAAAGCTGCTAATGTTCTTTTATTGTTATATCACAAGAATATAATACCATTATGTCTAGCAGACTTCTTTTGTTCTCAAAAATTACGCACTTGCAACCATTTATTAGAGTTGTAGGCTGGCATTTCCATTTTTAAAAAAATCTCTTTTTTTAAGAACTCGTGATGAATATTTCAGCTAATTTTCAATATTTTCAGTTAAATCTATTAATAAATCTTACAAATATTTAAAATAGCTCAAAGTATTCTAATTATATCTACATTTAAGCAAACGCTAAGACTGAATAAACAGTCTAGGCTTTTGTTAAATTTGTTGAGACGTGTAAATATTTGCAAAGTTAACACTCTAACTACACTGTTGTCTTATTAAACAAAAAGAGTTCGAGTCAATATCTGGGAAGTTAAGAAAATACAAGTTCTAAAAAGCTCGTTCTGCGAACAAAGCCCAAAAAATAAAAAAGGCAGCGGGTAGATTCTTGTTCCATACTCGTAGTCTTGTTACTTAAGAGGTTGTATTACGATTTGGGGCAAGTTAAGTTTATGTGAGTATTTGGCTTTCATATATTCGGATGGTTTCTAAAAAATTACATAATTATTTTATAATAATTCACAAATCAAACGGGTGCTCACTGCTTCGCAACCGATAGCGAATCCTTAAAACTATAATAAATCCTAATATATTGGCAAATGACCTTCGCATATATTGAAAGCTTCTAAATACGTATTGTGAGTCACAAGAATTCATAAAAGGAGCGAATTAAAATTACATCATAAGAACAACGAAAATACATTTGAAAATCCACAGCAACTCATAAAAATAGCAATAGCCGAAGGTAGACGCATTTTGAAATGTGATATTTTTAAACCCTCTTAAGGTGTTATAACTTCAGTGAAAAATTTATAAGTTAATCGAAAAATGTATCGGAACATTTTGGGATTAACTTCAATTATTTAAAAACTAGCTTTACAGAAAAGTGTTAAAAAACAACACTAGAAATATGATTTTAAAGTGGCACAAATCGAAATGATTGTGTTTTAATTCTATAAACATCTGGGTTTAAACGTTGGTATGTTTTTTTTGGGTTTGTAGTCTATAAGGTGACAAAGTTTGCTTCGCTGCTTGTGTAATTTTACTTCGTTTATTCTAATTAAAGCATTATTCAAGTATATTAAGAAAGCTTAAGAAATACTCGAGAGAGTCGTGTAGTTATTTTCTACTGAAGTCTCATTCAACAAAAGGGTCATTATCTGGATAGAAAAGAAAACAAATTTTTAAATAGACAAGCGAGCGAGCAAACTTAGGAGTGGGTGGTACAGGAACCTCTAGTTGTTTACTCGTAGTTCTCGATATTGGATTAAAAATCTGAAAATGTTCCACTCCTTGACGCAATAAGATTGCAATGAGCTTGCCGAAGCTAGCTTTCTTTCTTGTTTAACATATAAGATTGAAATGCAAATCCCGACCAACTAAAATGATATGAAAAACCTTCAAATTGGTTATTATGCTATATTGAACTTTCTTTCAATGCTCTTTTTTTGGGAATTTATAAAACAATTGTCTCCGCTTAACCACGACGTCTTCGCTCGTCTGCGCGCCTGCGGATGATTCTCCTGACGACGCGACGTCTTCGCCATGATACAATAACATAAGGTAGTCTCGTCGGCAAATTTTGGAACCCTACTATTAAAACAATGAGTGCGAGTGAAATGACAACTGTTTAGTAAGTGCGAGCAGAGCGACAATAGAATGTGTGGATTAACCCTTAGATGGTTCAGGGGGTTTTTTTTGCCTTTCATAATAAAAGGAGTTTAATTTTTTTTTATAATTTAATTTTTAATAATTTTGAATTTGAAATTAGGCATTGTTTTTGCCTCTGAATACTGAGTCTTTTGTTGAGATTCTTAATTTTAAAATATATTCTAATCTTAAAATAGCAAAGAATGTAAACGAACCTTTAATAATCGCAGCCGAAAATGTTAGTATAAGTTTAGACATAAAAACTTATACTAATATTTTCGGTTGCGATTATTAAAGTTTCTTTTACATTCTTTGTTATTTTAAAAGTATCACAGCGATTCCTCCCACAGCGCTCTTTTTTCCAAACATTTCGGTGCCTTTACGCCATCGACGTGTTTGCGGCACACATTGCAAAATGTCATGTTGCTCAAGGGTTAATTTCCTAAAAAATTCGTCCGCAGACAACCTTTCCCTTCGAAAGACGAACACGCACTGACCAAAACCCGAACGTTTAGACAGCCGACGAGACTACCTTATGTTATTGTATCATGGTCTTCGCCGTCGATGAATCCTCCTGTGGGGGGCTTCAGTGGTGGTGGTGGTAGTCGTGGTAGTCTCAGTTATTGTTGCTGCCGTGTCAGTGTCAGAATCACTGTAATCACTGTCATTGGAACTGTCACTGGAACTGTCGCTTCCTGTAACCGATGAAGAGTCTGAAGAGTCTGAAGAGCCTGAAGTGTCTGAAGAGTCTGAAGCGGCGCTGTCAACGCAGGACACGCAGATGGCCATCAAGACCAAAGTCAGTACAAGCAGGAGCCTCATTTTGAAGGTAGTTCGATGGTGGATACCGAAGGGAGTTGTGTAAAGATCAAATCTTTTACCATTCAATTTATAGCCCTTCTGGTAGAAAAATACACAGGCTAATTGCGTCAAGAGAGTGGAAAATTTTTTGATTTTTAATACAATATCATGAATTCTGAGTCAACAACTAAAGTTTCCTATACCACCATTTATTAGCTAAGTTTGGTAGCTAGCTTGTTTAATTAAAAATTTTTATTTTTGTTCTATCCAGATATTGACTCGAGATAACGGTGCCAGACTGTTTACTAAGCACTCAGTTAAGTAAACAAATAGAGAGTACAATGTATTACACGCATCAACAATTTAAGAAAAGTTCCGTGCCTTTCTTAAGCTTTCTTTATTTTCTTGAATAATGCTTTTCATTTTTAATATGCGTGGTGAAAATTATATGTCCCTTAAGTTCAAACAACGGAGTTTTTTAATAGCCTTGCTTTTAATTTGTATTATTCTTTCCTTAATTTTTAGTAATTTTGTTAAAATCCTTTGATTAAAATTGTAAATTTATATCTACCATCAGTTTACAAATAATTAATTGGACAACGATTTTATTACATTATTGGCACCGTGAAAACACCCTGAATGCACCTATGCACTTACTTTAGGGATCAAATTAGTGCGGAAAAGAATAAAGAATAAGAATATAAAAAATACATATTTTAATAACTAATGATTAGTACTTTTCCAGAAGCAAAATAAATAAAATAAAATTAACCTTATACAGTCCGCTTTATTTGATCTGCAAACAACCCAGCAAAGCCAAAAGAAATGTCACCATGCTCTACATGAGAAATAAAGACCGAACTCAGAAAAACTTATAATTTTTCTTACTTCCCAGTTTAAGCCAGCAACATTACAAAACGTTCTTGAAGGTAAAGATTTCGATTATATGTTTTATAAAATTTTGTACTGGGAATATGGATAAAGTTGGGTCATTTTATTTTCTCCAATACTATCCAAACTAATTTAAATGTCATAGTAAGTACTTTTCCTAGTTAAACCAGACATCTTAAGTCAAATCTTTGCTATTGTTTCGGTTTTAGAATGGGGGCTTATCGATGCCACACTCGTCGGGTTTTTTAAAGACGAGGGCATAGGTGAGCACGGGATGCACATTGCTGTCCTCGGAGGCCGTGGAGAGGAGCGAGTGCGTCGAAGGACTCTCCATGAACAGCATCTCCGCATCAAAATTGCTCCAGCGGCCTCGGCTCAGCTGATCTTTAACGTACTTGAGCTGAGTGTTTATCTAGGGAAATCGGGGGATTTAACTGATCAATAAATCATATATATGTAGGTTAATATTAAAAAAGAAAGAAAATAGTTAGCAACAAAACTAATAATTGCGAAATTTGGTAAATATGATCTTTTACGAGCAACTGTTTTAAGCTGCTTTTTACGTATACTATTTGGTTTTCTTTTATCGATATAGTATGCAACATTTTTTTTTTAGTTTCATTATAAATAGGGCATTATAACAACGTTACCATTGGCACCAGTAAAGGGTTCTCCTTGCAGTTGAACAATTCTGCCACAAACTTTCGGAGATTATCTGGTTTTGGCTTCCCATTGAGAGCCTGGTGCAAGATTACCCGAATTATGGCACGTATCTGGAGGGTGCATATCATAAAGCAATTAACATTACAACATTAGAATAAAAGAAAGGCACCTCTGGATGTTGACACAGATACTCCCAGTTTCCAATGCGAAGCTGTTTTTGGATGCGCTTTATGGAGCCGTAGTGCTTAATGTCCCGCGATTCCCACTTGCCAAGATCCCAGACCTTGTTGAAGTATGGTTTATTTGCTTTCGACATATTTCAGGATTTGGACTTTGCTATTACTGGAATTTAGAAGTAACTTTTCATTATATAATAAGAAATTATAAACAAAGGAAGGTTGTTAAGGTGAAGTAATTTGTATTTTTTTATCTTTAAAATACTTGAGATCAAATTTATTCTCTTAAAGAATATAAATCAATTAATCTGCAGTTGCAGATATTGTGGAAAAGTTTTCACTATTGCAATTGTAATTTTTCAAATAATAATATAAATAACCATAGGCTTAAATAACTTGATTTAAAAGTAATCGTTAAAACCGTTTTGAAATTAGAATTGGCGCCAATTCGTTTAGCAAAAGTACTCGATACTTTTCTTTGCCGTTGTGTGAGATCCAACCAAACGGGCACACTGTCAGCACAAAAGAAAATTTTTGACGAAAATTGTTAGAGATTTCCGTTTTTAATTAACAATGATGAATTAATTAGCGCTGGAATTAGCACAAGCTACAACTTCAGAAACTTTCGAGGGTCCAAGGCAATAGGAAGCGATGGTAAGATGAGTAGAGATGGCTAAAAAGTGATGTTTTCTGATTGGAAATACTGGCCAAACGAACCGGCTTGCCCGGAAAAATGAGGAGTCCGTCGTAATAATGGACCAAAAATAGACCGGAGCGCAGTGCCCCAAAAATAGCCACGACATGTGCTGCCCAACTAATAGTTTTCCTCATCCCATCGCAGGCTGTGCTGGGCGCCCAATTGGTCATCACTTTGGTGATGGTCAGTGTCATCCAGAAGCTGAGTCCGCACTACTCCTTCGCCAAGTGGATCCTGTGCCGCACTGGCCTGCATCGTTACCTGCATCCCACCGACGACGAGCTGCGCTCCCGTGGCGGAGTGCCCAAGGAGAAGCCACACAAGGGTGGTCGGAATAAGCAGGCAAATGGATCGGGAGCCAGCGCACAGTTTCAAATACCGCGCAGCATCGAGGTGGAGCTGCTGACGTCACCGGTCCTGGAGCGGGATGTGGTGCACCTGCGCTATTTTACGGAGTACCAATGGCTGCTGGACTTCAGCGTCTATACGGGCATCGTCTACGTGGTCTCTGAGGTGGGCAAAGCAGGAACTCCTAGTCATGAAACCAGGTGTTTTTTGTTGTACTTTCTAAGGGAAAAAGAGTCCTGGTTTTTATAAATTTTATTCCATGATTTAAAGAATCGTTAAGTCTGAAAAATAAATTATATGATTATTATTATTACTATATAATATACATTCAGTTAAATTTGTTTACTATACTGAGAGCTAAATCAGCAATTTTACAACCTTTTTAAAATTTTGTCAAAGGCTATAAGCGATACATTTTATATGGTTGATAACCTTTTTTTTATTTCCAGAAAGTAAACTATTCCTAATTTCCGATTTTTCTTACACAGCTGTTCCATTTCTTCTACCCGCTGCGTCATGAGATCAACCTGAGCATGGTGTGGTGCCTGCTGGTCATCTTCTTTGCCCTGAAACTGCTCTCCTCGCTCACGGTGCTCTACTTCCAGAGCGAGGAGTCCATCGGCGAGCGGTCTATGGTCATTGTGGCCTGCCTGGTCTACCTGCTTGTGGCCATGGTCGTGCTGATCGTGGACGAGCGCATCCTGGAGACCGGTCTGGAGGATGCATATGCCAGCTTTAATGCCAGCGCATCCAAGTTCCTCACCGAGCAGGGTCTGCCATCGTCGTAAGTTTTGAAACCTCATTACAAATTACTTATATCACTAAGTTTGTGCTTTGTTTTTATAGAGGACCGGCTTCCAAGATCGTGGTCAAGTTCTTTCTGGCCATGGGTTGCGGTCTGCTGGGATCACTGTTCACCTTCCCCGGGTTGCGAATGGCCAAGATGCACTGGGACTCACTGAAGTACTGCCGCGGCAATCGGCTGCTGCAAGTGCTGTTGAATCTCAGCTTCGTGCTGCCCTTCATCCTAGTCATCCTGTGGATACGGCCCATCAGCCGCGACTACCTGACGGTGCGCGTCTTCCAGGGGATGCAACAGCCACTGTAAGCAATTGTTTCCCTTTGTTTGATTTGAAACAATAGCCTATTTATCGTTTATAACTCCGAGTTATCTTTTAAATTTATGCAGACTGAAGCCGCACGTCTTCGAGACCCTTCGTCTGCTGCTGGTGATCCTTGTGGTGGTGGTCCGCTTTGCCCTGATGCCCATATATCTGCAATCGTACCTGAATCTGGCCCACGACAAGATCCTGGATATGCGCAAGGAGGCCGGCCGCATCACCAATGTGGAGTTCAAGCAAAAGGTAAAGCACATCCCTCTCTTGCAAAAGTCATAATTAAGTTACCTAATTTCTTGTTTTTTAGATCTCGTCGATTTTCTATTATCTCTGTGTTGTGACCCTACAATTTGCTGCACCGTTGATTCTGTGCCTTTATCTCACACTAATGTACAAGAGTTTGGGAGGCTTCAGTTGGTCTGGTATTTTCCAGGATAGCGTCGTCCTACAGCACGAGTGCGCGGCCAGCGAAGTGGACCCTGTTGGTGGTAGCAGTGCCGTTTCCCAAGAAGATGGCGAATTCAATATCCTGGAGTCAGCGCAATCGCTGCAGGCTTCATTCAGTAGCCTGAAAAATGTAAGAACTTATCTTCTACCATTTAAGGCCGTGATTAACCTAGATGTTTTCAGGTCTTTTCCACGGAGGTGTACAAGGGCTTTCTGGGTTTTGCTACCTGGTGGAGTTACTTTACGCTGTTTGCCACTTCCTCGCTGGGCATTGTCTACCAGTCGTATTTCAACAAGACCTAAGGCCATTTAATCATACACCATGAATCCTTATAGTAGTACGACTCTGTTCTTTGTAGTCAATATGTATCGCGTATTCAATTAATATTGTTTTCTACTCATCTGGCGAATAGATTGGCTTTCACCATGTTTTGTAAATAATACTACTTTACTCATTGTTCATAAAGTGTGTAATAAAGACTATTAAACAGGCTGCCCTGAAAGTAACCAAAGTGAACTAAACATAATCTAAAAGAGTTAAGTGCGTTATCCGAACTCTAAATAAATGAGTACGTCATCATGATTTGTTGTTTATTAATACAATGAAGAGTTAAGCAATGGGCCTAGCTTTTGTTTTCACCAAAAAATCCTAAATCCATTTATACATTGTATATTCTTCCAACTGTGGGATGTTGTTTGCCAGTCCATTAAGGATTGCGCTACAAGGTCAAATATTTAATTTAAACTATACATTAGCGAAATGTAAGGATAAAATCTTCGAACTTAGGTTCCACAGTTTAGGAATTTTAATATGTTCGACAGCATTAGAGACTATGTGGTCTATGTTGACTAACCACCTCCAAGTTTTCATACAAAAAAGAACACATTGCTTTTAAGTTGTGGGTCAATTTGAAAAACACCAATTTATTAAACCTTAAAGGTTGCGAATTAACCTAACAGACCACAGATTATGAATATGTAAATGGGTATCGTTTGCATATTTCCAGTAGGTAGTGCTAAATAGAGTAGTCCAGCACAAAGGCCGACTTCGGAATATATTATCAGATTAGATTTTGGCAATGCCAATGACGCCGCATCCAATGCGAGCGCCAGCGTTGCCCGTGGACTTGCTCAGCTCGTGGCCGCCCTTGCCGAGATCATCGGCATCGGCGTGGACCACCACGGTGCGTCCGATGATGCTGTCGGCGCCGAAGAGCGTGATCCTCGAGTCGGTGATGGTGACCTTCGTGGGGCAGTCGCCGGTGGCCTCAATGTTGCCCAGATCGCCCAGGTGGCGGTCCTCGTCGGCGGGGGCGCCGTGCTCCTTGCCGTAAGGATTGAAGTGCGGCCCGGATGACATGCAGCCGTTGGTGTTGTCACCGAACTCGTGCACGTGGAATCCGTGCAGACCCTTGGCCAGACCGCACACCTCGCCGGTGACCGTCACGGGCGTGTCGCTGCTCTGTGGGAGGGAAAAAAAGGGAATGGGGCACAATTAGTTCGACGCACAAGATAATGCTCGCGTCTTGATAACGCAGAAGAGGTGTTTAATCATGACATGTCCGAAAAGAAGCACTGAAATTCTTTCTCTCCAATGTGACTACTAACGGAATCCAATTCAATTTACTGGATATAGGGTTTAGTTTAGGGTTTTTTTATTTTAAACAAAGGGACATCACTGATTTTAAGTGGTATTCAATAGAATTTTTTAAATAAGTGTTAAAAAACTGTATACAGTAAATGATATGCACAATCAAAAAATTCATTTCTTGTGATTTTTAGGAATGTCTTTTTTACTTTACTTAATGATGGAAAAATGTTTATATTAATAGTACTTACGAAAAAAAATGTGTACAATAGAATACTCAGTTATCTTTTCTATAAAAAGTTATAGCGCCTGGGGCTCTAGCACATAACCTGTAATCAGCTACTATTTTAATTTTATTCGTTATCTTGGACACTTTGAACATGCACTGCTATTATTACGAGCTAACATGTGTACATATGTTTATATTTGTTACTTAAAGAACTTATTTTTATGAATTTTGGTTGAGAATATATGTAGCTTCAAAGGATAATATATAATTTTTTAAATTATTTTGTGGTAGGATCTGAATTTAAATTTTATTAACAATTTAACTAAGAAATAATATTCAAAATTTTACAAAACCTAAAAATAGCTTTTCTATTAACCCTTAAGGCACCGAAAAAAAAACAACCATAGTGTCTTTAGTCCTGTTATTTTGCCCTTCAGACATGTGCGCATCGTTGTTTGGCTTATATAATTGTGCATTTGTTAGGTGACTAGGCAAAAATTCGCAATCGGACGCAATTGAAATGCTCGAAAGAATTTAAAGTGGGATATTGGAAAAGAAGAGGGCGCGGGGTAAGCCGGCAATTTGACCTTTAGAACTACTCCATCTTCGCTGTTTCTCGGGGAAAACTTAATAAAATCCTACATTCTCACCTGCTGTTCAAAGAAAACAGTGCCCTTGGCATCGCCATTAATTACGCAGACAGCTTTGACCACCATTTCGACAATTGATTATTTATCAAAACGAAAAAACTTTAGAACTTTCCAGGTATCTCGAACAAAGTGACCGTTTCCTGGGCAGCTCAAAATACCAGCCGGTCCGTGGGGTTTGAGGCAGCGTTAAGTCACATCCCAGTTCTCTACCATTGCGTTATAATTGTGATCATTTACGGTTTATGCATCGCCAAATTCATGAAGTCACTTACGCACGAAAGCTGACAAACAATTTATTTTATTGTTTATTTTTTATTTAACTAAATTTTTAATTTTCTTGTTGTCAGAATTGACATTTGTGCAAATCGGTCCTACCTATTAAATGATTATTTTTGATTACCTTTCCATTTATTTTAATGTTAAGCCGATTTGAACATATTTTAAATATTGATTTCTCTTTGTCAGATAGAATTACAAATTTTTTAATAGGATTTAAATCGAAAAAAACGTCAGGCTTGGACTTTGAACAAAATATCGCAAAATAATTTATAGTTCGAAAAAAAGAAATTTCTTATAGTTTAGTTTAAAAAATGTTCATATTTTAAAGTAAATAAATATTCGTAGTGAATAACCAACACTAATTTATTTTGTAATTGCATTTATGCATGGAAAATAAAAGCCTTCTTAAAATGAAAAGATTAGGATCGGATCAAATGAGTAAAATAAAAAAAAATATTAGATATAACTGTTACTGAAAAAAAGTGAATACTAAGTGTGAATTCTTTTTTCTTTTCAAAATACAAAACGTATAAAAAGTAGAACTACTATTTGACTTGTAGATACCCCTTACTAGATCCACTCCTGTCAGCTGTTTTGGTATCCACTGGTTCATTTTTAAGCTTCCCATTTGTTCAAGTAAACGCCAACTCTTATTGCTGGATTTTCATCGTTTAAATAAAGGGAAAGACCCTAAATATATTCATAAATCAAAAATCGTATGCATTTATTTTTGTGCTGACAGAAAAATCTTAATCAAGTATCAAGTCAAGTATTGGAACGTATTCAATCCAGGTGGAGATCTAAGCTACAACTAGCTGCGCATTTTTTTAAAATCAGAGTCGATAAGACAGTTAAGCTACAACAATGGAGAATTGGTAGGGATATATTCATTAGCAACAACTATTTATACTTACTAATAGTTAAATTTGTCTTTAAAGGCTGTCCTTTTCCTATAAAAAACTTACTGAGGAGGCTGATTTTGCTGACTGCTGTGTAATTGTTGGAACGCGGAGATTTTTATGCCACAAGGTAGGTGATTATTATTGGTTGATATAATAAAAAGATTTTAATATTCATATTATTAAGGTGATATTGGGCGTGGCTTCGGATTTCTTTAAGCGTACGTTCCAGCCTGGTTTTGCAGAGGCAAAGACCGGGGAGCTTATCCTAACCGATGTCACGGAGGACATTTTCGAAAAGTTCCGGCTATACGTCTACGCTTACGACAAGAAGATTCTCGGTAGTTACAGCAACATGGATATCATCAAGCTGAAGGAGTGCGCCAACATGTGGATGGTTGAATCGCTCAAAATGGCCTGTGATGAGATCTTCAGGCAAAGATTACCCAGCATGACATACACGGATTTACTACTATTCTTTGAGCATGCGCACCACGTACATGACAAGGATCTTATCCAGCAGATATCCAAGTATTTGAAATGTAAAATCACATCGACATCGCTTCCCGAAGTCATTTATGAACTGGGTTCAGATGTGTTTAGAGAGTTTTTGATGCTCATAAAGGGCAGTTTAACTGAAAAAAAGAGATATGACATGGTGGAGAAGTTTGTTGGCGTTCATGGGTTTGTTCTCAACCAAAGCGATTCCAACAAATGGGAGTTTCATGGATTCTCCAATAAAAGCGAGACAAAACCAAGCGAGTCTCCAGCAATTAAGTTCGGATCTGGCAGTCAAAGCGAGAAAAACGAAGACGACTATGCCAACCCAAATCCGTTTAAGGTCGAGAAATTAAACTTTTCTGGAAGTAACTCTGTACCCTTGGATCCCAGGGCAAAGAAAATCAATAGCGAGTATGTCAAGAACATTGTGGGTTTGATCGACTTCACAAAAATGACAGCCAACGAGTTCTTTGAGGGGCCTGGAAAATCCAAAATGATGACCTTTGAGGACAAGTTCAATTTTATGTATAAAATAGCTAAACTAAATGCACGAAATTGGTAAATTCTTAAAACCGTGAATTACGACAAAGGCCATAAAAACCAAGCTTTAAATACGTTTTCGTTCCCACTTATTATCAATATTAAAAATGTACCTTTGTAAGCTGAACAACTTTTGTTTAAAACTTCTATACAAGATTGTAATCGTTTATAAACAAAATTGTTGAAACTATCTTCACAAAAATAAAAATCAATCGATCGACTTCTATTAAAGCCGTTAGCCTACAACAACGGTTCAAACATAGATAAAAAGAAACAACAATATATACATTTGATTTTTTTTAATACACAATTTGTCCAAACACTTAAATGGGATTTTCTTCATTAATAAGAAATAATGTGCTATCATTTCAATCTTTATATATTGTTATTGTATCCGTAAATTTGTAGATATTACTTATTAATTTTCATCATTTTTGTTTTTGTTTGTATTTTTATGTTTTGTATATATTTATATATATAGATATATATATATTTTTTATATTTAAATCGATATAGGTAAAGGTATGTAGATAGGTAATATTATTCATTCGCCTGTTTGTTTGTTTGTTACTTGTGTGGTTGGTTGCTTGTTACTTGATTTTTCCCCAATTTTTCTCACGCTTCTCGCACACTTCGGTCACATAGCTATAACATCTTAAACATCATAATCATCAATCATTACAATAATCAATCGCATATATCTATATAATTTTGCTTTGTTTGCTGCTTTACCTCGCTTTAAACTTAAAATGTATTATATTACTTAGAGAGTAGCGTCATCGAGCATATTGAATTCGTCAGATCTAAGGGATTAAGTCGTAACTTCGAATCGGTTTTCGAATTTCGAAAAGTGTGTATGTAGTTGCCGCCGTTGAACGGTTGTATGGCCAACATTTCAAAACACAATCTTACAGTTGCTATTTGTAAAATGTTCCATATCAATTTATACAATTTGCTTTCGTTTGCTTTGCTTTGCGTGCGCTTTTTATCCATATGTTGTGTTTGAGTTCGCTTTATGTTTTGATTTGTTTTTGTGGTAAAGGTAGGTTTATGATTGGCAAATTCAATATACAAGATGGAGATACTTTTTGTTTTGCTTTCTAATCGTTTCCACCCGTGGGCCTACTATTTGCCCTTGTTCTGCCGGTGCTTCTGGATCCGCACGCATCAGAGTACCTCGGACACGTACTTGGGTCGCTTGGACACGGTGGCATCGGTGGCAGTGGTTACGCACTCCTCCTCGCTGGCCTCGATGTGACCACTATAGTCGGTCGGCACCTCCTCATAGATAATCTCTGAATGCTGCTGCTGCTGCTGTTGTGCCATCACTTGCTGCTGATGCAGCGAATGCGCTGTCCCACCGCTCATCACATGATTCCTCTTCACAGCAATCAAAGCTCCAACACCGCCGCCTCCGCTCGCGGCGCTTCCCTCAACGTGCGTCTGAGGTACTGCCACCCCGGAGTTTTGATTGGTTACATAGTACGGACTGCCGCTGCTGAAAAAGCAAATAAATAGTAAACAGTTTGCCTCGGAATAAAAAGTTCACTTTCTGCTTACCTGTACTGATTGGAATTGCTTGACAGTGTCTGCTGCTGCTGTTGGTGCTGCTGTTGCTGGTGTGCATTTTGAGAGTTGTAGATGATTTCTGCAAAATAAATAAATTATAAAGATTAAAAACCTGGTGAAATTATTTAATTTAATTACAATTATTTAATCACAAGTTAGCGATTTGACTTAAAATATAGTCTGGATTTATTATTTACCAAGAGCTGAAATGCATTATGAATGTAATGCCGATAAATATACTTCAATAATTAATTGTTATCGAAGTGCTTTATAAAACATTAGTCTTAATAGCTTTTTCTCGCTTGGCTTTAACAAGAATGAGATTGATTTTGGTGAATAATAAAGAAGCCTCTTACCGGCATCAGCTGCGCGCTGTTCCAGCGACATTCCCGGCGATCCGGGAGCAGATTGCAGCACAATGTCCTGCAGCGGTGAGCTCTCGCGCGAGTTATCTAAAGCGAATCAAAAAGAATTTAACAGGATACCACGAAGAGACTTTAGACCACTACTTACCCATGTGACTGGGCGAGACGGGCGCCGATCGGGGCATCCCGTATGGCGGACGGAAGCCCTGGCTGCTCCGCTGGCGGCGCTTCTTGTAGCTGTGGTCGATCAGCTTGGCGCCGCTGTCCGGATCAATGCGCCAGAAGGAACCCTTGCCGGGCTCGTCCTGGGAGCGGGCCACCTTGATGAAATACCTGCAACAATAAGTGGGAGAATGAGCAACGATTTTGGGAAATATTACAATAAAAGTGCAAGAACCTTGTACAAATATAATTCTTCATACCTATTCAAACTGAGATTATGACGTATGGAATTCTGCCAGCCCTTGTTCGTCTCCTTGCGGTAGTACGGGTAGTGCTTGACTATAAACGAATAAATGCCCGAGAGCGTTAGCTGCTTGTCCGGTGCGGCAGATATGGCCTGGACGATAAGCTGGGCGTAGCTGTACGGCGGCTTCTCGTTGTGATTGTAGCTGGCTGTGGAGGGAGTCTGGAACAGATCCTGCTGCAAATGCAAATTACTTATTAGTATGCCTATAAGTTTAAAATTATGTACTTACTGTATTGTTGTTACTATAGTTGTTGTAATTGTTGGGCTGGTTCTGAATGAAACCCTGACGTGGACTAGCCGGACAACTGTTGGCAGCGCTTATTGTACCTGCAAATGCAATCATTAATGCTTTATTAAAAGTAGAAGACTAATTACTTATAAGGCACCAATTTAAAAATATATGATTATGTTGCTGACATATACAATACTTTAAATTTTGTCTTTAATTATCTATTGATAAACAGATATGGCTTTTGGAAAAATGAATCATTGTTAGATTAACCAATTAATTTAGTCCTATGTAGTTACATATCACTTATTCAATATTTTCATTGATTCAATATCCCTATTAATCAAGTTGACATTAAAGATTTTAAAAACGCATCAATTTTTGCCCTGTTATCTCTTTAAATGTGTAAAAAGGATTAAATTCCACTTGCCAGTTGGTGACAGGTAGGGGCTCTTCTGCTCCTTCTTGGGTATGGATATCTTAAGCGGAGAATAGATGCCGGGTCCGTCTCCGGCGGCGATTAGGTGGGCAGCTGTACCGGCTGGAGGGGCCACAACAATGTTCCCACTGCGCTGTTGCTGCTGGTGCAGAGTTGTGTGGTGGAGCGGGTGGTGTGGAGTGTGCGGGAGTGGGTGGTGCGCCGGTTGCTGTTGCTGTTGCAGCGGCAGGTGGTGCGGTGGCTGGTGGTGCGGGTGTTGCTGCAGCTGCTGCTGTTGTTGATGCAACTGCTGCTGGTGAATTTCGTCCCTCGGCGGCGGAGTGATAATAACGTGGGCTCCACCACCACCCAACGCACCACCGCTTACGACCAACGATGGCGAGTGGCCGGCAGCTGCATCCGATTGAGTGTCGGGCACATAACTTTCGAACTCGATGCGAATCTCCGTGCTTGGAAAGCGGAAATAACAGCTGCAAATGAAAGGAAACAATTGATTAGATATACTGGTGTTATTTCATAACTTTGATTTTTCTATTTCCATGGACTTTCGATTTGGAAAATTAAAACATATAATTTTCAAACTGCCATTTTAAATTACGGGGTATCTATCCATTTGTTACTTACTATTTGTTACTTACTTACTTGTTACGACACTTAGCCTATGACTGTTATCTATTTTCACATCTTTTCATAATAGCTTAAGTAGAATTTTATGATTTAATATATGGAAGACGTGTGGAATAATTTATCCAATTAATTAAAAGATAATAAAATGTCGCTATAGACTTGTTTTTGCTTACTAAACTGCACTATTATTAAAGTATACATTTCTGAAACTTTCTTATAAGGATTTGTTATTGGGCATGTTGAGTTGAAAAGTTCATGAATAAATATGAGTTACTTATCTATACACATACTTTTGTATGCATCTCTAGTTTGCTATTAGAAATAAACAACTAAATACTTCATAAAAAGATGTCTAACCAAATTTGATGTTTTTTTTTTAAGATATATTTTTTTTTAATATAATGAACTGTTCCAATAAAATAATGCAAAAGAATTAAAAGATTCGCAGTTTTGTTCCCTCTACGATTTATGAGCTCCTCTTACCGTTGCGGCAGACGAAGTGGATCCACGTTGCGGCGCTGCAGGAAATCATCCACAAAGATGCCGTTCTTGCTGAGGCACTGGACAAAAAAGGCGCGAAGCTCCACGTCGTAGAGCACCTGGAAATGTTTGCGCGACACCAGGTTATTCTCGGCCACGTTGAAGTGGACCAGCGATGTGGAGGAGTTGCGTCCGATGACCGTCACGGCGTCCGTGATGGGCAATACCTCCTGGTTGAAACGGAGCTCTCCATATGGCGGCGAGGATGTTGCTGAGGCGTTGGCGGAGGAGGTGGTGGTGCTGCTGTTGGTGGAGGAGGAGGAGGTGGTAGTGCTACTAGGGGCAGGTGGGTGGTTTGCTGAATTGTTGCTGTTGTTGGACAGCTGATCGGCGCCGCTGTTGTTGTTGCTTCCCGCGCTGCTGCTATTGTTGTTGTTGCTGTTGCTATTATTGTTGTTATTCAGCGCCGCTGTTGCTGCTGCTGCTGCGCCATGATGCAGCTGCAACATGTCCTTGGCAATCGCAACGGTGGCGGCGTCGGCTGCACCACCTGCAATGTTGGTGGGTGGGTTGTTCAGTACGGCGTGTACGGTCACAATATTGTTATTGCTGTTACTATTGTGGCCGTTGTTGCTGCTGCTGTTGTTGTTGTTGTTGGTGGTGGTGCTATTGCCGGTGGTTGTTGCTAGTGTTGTGGTTGTTGTTGTTGTAGTGGCGGCCATTGAAAGGTAAATCCCACTTGTCCTATGCTCGCTTAGTGCTGGTGTTTGCCTGCGAAATTGTAAAAATAATGTATTTAGTTGAGTAAAGTTTTTCATGGGTGAATTTTTGATTATGTAAATGATTTATATTTAATTGATATTATCAGTGCAAAAAAATATAAGATTTCTTATCTGTTGAAGAGACTACTTTTAAAGTAATTTCAATATTTTATTATTGTTTTACAATTTTTGTTGAGTAATCTCTTTACCGAAAATATGTACACATATATAAATTGTTCTTACAACCATGCATACATACACACATACATATGTATAATTTTTGTGAGCAAAAAAATGTATTAACTTATATTGTGTTTATCAATATGTTTACCGGAAATAATTT